TTTGGTCATAGAGTCATAGTCTGATCAAGAAAAGAGACGTATTTATATGAATTTTGGGCATTTGTCAATGTCACAGTTGGATAGCTTAGCATGCAAGATAAGCAATTTGAGTCAGCTAAGGCAGTTTCATGCGCAGCTCATTCAAAATTCCCTCCACCACCATAGCCAATGGGTGTCACTGCTCATCTCCCAATGCACACGCCTCCGTGCGCCGCCGCCCTATACCCGTCTCATCTTCGATTCCACACCTCGCCCCGATATCCATGTCTTCATCTCTATGCTCAAATATTACTCCAATTTGGGCAGTGCCCATTTTAATCAAGTTGTTTTTCTGTATCAAAAGCTGCAGTGTTGTGACTTAAGGATCGGTACCTTCGTGTACCCTGTCTTGATCAAAGCTGCCGGCAGTAAAGGAATTGAGTTCCATGCCCATGTCCTGAAATTGGGTCTTGCTTCTGATCCCTACATTCGCAATGCCATCATGGGTTTGTATGCAAAATATGGCCCGGTTGAGAACGCCAGAGATGTGTTTGCTGAAATGCATGAGAGAACTCTTGCAGATTGGAATAATATGATCTTTGGGTACTGGAACTGGGGGAATAAAGCTGAAGCGTGCAGACTCTTTGATATGATGCCTGAGAGGAATGTTGTCACTTGGACTGCTATGGTTACTGGGTATGCTAGGATGAAGGATTTGGAGAATGCAAGAAGGTATTTTGATGAAATTCCAGAGAAAAATGTTGTATCCTGGAATGCAATGCTCTCCGCTTATGCTCAGAACGGATTTCCAGAGGAGGCTTTAAAATTGTTTGTTGATATGATGAACTCCAGGGATCAACCAAATGAAACTACTTGGGCAATTGTCATTTCAGCATGTTCGTCATGTGGTGATTGCTCCCTTGCTGATTCATTTGTTCAAAAGCTCAACCAGAAGCGGATACATTTAAGTTATTTTGCCAAGACAGCGCTGCTTGATATGTATGCAAAGCGTGGGAGCCTCCAGGCTGCTAGACAAGTTTTTGATGAATTGGGGGTGTCTAGGAACACTGTTACCTGGAATGCCATGATATCAGCACATACAAGGGTTGGGGATTTGGCTTCAGCTAGAGAGCTCTTTGATAAGATGCCAGAAAGGGATGTTGTCACATGGAACTCGATGATTTCTGGTTATGCTCAAAACGGGCAGTCAGCTCTTGCAATTGATCTCTTTAAAGATATGATTACTGCTGCTGATGATCCCAAACCAGATGAGGTAACTATGGTGAGTGTCATCTCCGCATGTGGACATCTTGGAGCCTTAGACATAGGAAATTGGGTTATCAGTATTGTCAGAAAAAATCATATTAAGCTAAGTATATCAGGATACAATTCTTTGATATTCTTGTACTCCAAGTGTGGAAGCATGGATGATGCCAAGAGGACATTCCAAGAAATGACAACAAGAGATGTGGTTTCCTACAACACATTGATTGCAGGGTTTGCAGCTCATGGTCATGGAATGGAAGCTGTCAAACTACTGTCGAAGATGAAAGGAGAATTTGTTGAACCGGACCGTGTAACATATATTGTTATTCTTACGGCATGTAGCCATGCAGGGATGTTAGAAGAAGGTTGGAAGGTTTTTGAGTCAATCAAAGCTCCTGATGCCGATCATTATGCCTGTGTGATTGATTTGTTAGGTCGAGTGGGTAAACTAGATGAAGCAAAAAAAATTATCGATGACATGCCGAAGGAGCCACATGCTGGGGTTTATGGGTCTCTTTTAAATGCTAGCCGAATTCACAAAAGAATCGATCTTGGGGAGTTTGCTGCAAGCACGCTCTTTGAGCTTGAACCACATAATTCAGGAAACTACATTTTACTTTCAAACATATATGCCTCAGCAGGCAGGTGGGATGATGTGGTGAGAGTTAGAGAATTAATGAGAAAAGTAGGGGTGAAGAAGGCAACTGGGTGGAGTTGGGTTGAATACAAAGGTAAGTTGCACAAGTTCATTGTGGGAGACAGATCACATGAGCTGTCAGACGATGTTTATAGGCTATTGGCGGAATTAGGGAGGAAAATGCGAAATTCTGGGTACATGGCTGATAAGACCTGTGTGCTAAGAGATGTTGAGGAGGAGGAGAAAGAAGAGATGGTGGGTACTCACAGTGAAAAGTTAGCAGTTTGCTTCGCTCTTCTGGTTACTGATGCAGAGGCAGTGATTAGGGTAGTGAAGAATCTGAGGGTATGCTGGGATTGCCATACAGCTATGAAGATGATATCTGACTTGGAGGGAAGGAAAATTATTTTGAGGGATAATAACAGGTTTCACTGCTTCAGTGATGGGATATGTTCTTGCGGAGACTATTGGTAACCTATACCAATAAACTTGCCATTTTCATGCTAATGAGGACACACCTAATGGCTTAGTGATGCTCTTGCAACATCAAGTAACAACTTACAGTGTTTTATTTTAATGGATTGATGGATGATGTCCATTTATTTTTATTTGTTTGTTTTTTTTTTTTTTTTTGTTCTTTTTTTTTTTTTTTTTTTTTTTTTTTCTTTCTTCTTCTTCTAAGAGGAATTGCAAATGAAAGATGACATCAAGGTGCAAATTAATGACTGAATTCTTAACTCTTGTTGAAGGTTAAGTGAATATATGTTGAAGAAGGAAGGTATCCGTGAGGTTGTAGCTCACATATGACTAGAGGACGAGCTTATGTTTGGCTCAGGTAGCAATGCTGCATCAACCTCGTCTTCACTTCCAGGGAATTAAGATGTCGGGTTGAGAAGAAGCTTGATCGGGGACTTGTTTAAACACCAGGTAGTAGAAATACTATAGTAAATTCCTCCACTTTCATATTAGAACCCAAGGCCAAAGTAAGAATTTACTATAGAATATTAGCTGATTTTAATGATTTGAAATATATATATTTTTCCTGTCACACCGTATATATTCAGACTTTTGAATTTTCAGTCTACTTTTGGTGCCGCCTTCTATCTTTCGGTTAGCCCTAGAGGCAAGAGCACAATAAGAACCTCACAAAATTTCTAGTCTGACAATATAAATATTTGTCTGATAAGATAACATTAGCGGTGAAAATAGTATTCCTTGCCTGTTAATACTTAATATAATAGTGTGATGATTAGAAATATGGTTTAAACATGACTTTAATTACACAAAGCACATGAAAGTGCACCAAGAGACAACTTCAAGCCAGAAATTATCAATAAAAAAATTGTACAAATCTGGAGAAATTCATGAAAATCTAAGACCTCGTTTCCCATCAAGATCAAAGACTCCAACCATATATAGGATCTGGCTTCTCCTAGTTGATTGAACATCTTCTGCAAAAGCTCGTTTTAAGGTCCTCATTTCATTGGCATCACCCTCTCGCTCTATCAACTTGTCAAATCGGTGACACTTGAGAGATTGACTTATTCCAAAGTATACCTGCATTGGATTTTACAGAATTTTTTGTTGTTGTGGATTTCTAATTCGGATAATTACCAATTTAACACCAGAATATATGACATTGTCTCTTTTTGTTCCTTAAAATGGGGCGAGGCAACATGGAAAATTTGGAAATTCTTGTATAAAGACATAAGATTCATATATGTAACCACTTGTGACTTGTGACTCGCCGTTTTTGCAGTAAGTCATGACTCTTTGACGAAGAGTCTTTGTGTACCTATAGAGGTGCCACACCGATGCATTAAAAGGAATCAGTTGTCTTCTTTCTAGGTTACACAAGTCTTTTCAGAGATTATGAAATTTAAATCTCACAACAAATATTTCTATTTGTGACATTTGAGTAATTGTGCTTGATTAGGACAAAAAGATTAGGCTGAGGTTGGGGAGAGTAGAGGAAGCATTCGTTTCTATAGGTACAAAAAATTTACAAATAGTGTACCCAGAAAAGATATACTGATTAAACATTTCAAAATAATACAGGATAGAAAAAAAAAATTCTTCTTAAAACTTCAGTTTTGTTTTTATATATTTATGAAACTCTAGCACACTCTAACCATCCTTCGAGAGATTCAGCTTGGTGTCTCAATTTCTGAATCTTCGAGCTCAAGTATAGCATTGAATCCAAATTCAGTTCCTGGTTTAAACAAGAGTTTGAGTTCTTCTGCTGTTTGAGTAGTGTTGATTTTGTTTTCCTTCACATTCAAGTTTTCCTGAAATTGATGAGAGATTTTAGAACGTTGCCTGAGTTTTATAAGAAAGACAACGTAGTGAATGGTGACCAGGACTTGCCTTCTTTACATAATCACCCATGGTAGAGCTTATTATTTCTTGTATGACAAACTTTGTGACACGCTCCTTACCAAGTATATCCAAGAGAAAGCTTTTTGGGACCTGAGGGAAGTTTTAGGTTAGCCATCAAAGAACAATGCTAAAGACTAAAGCATATGAACGAGGGGCCCTATGAACTTCAAAATGGTTTCAAAACATAAATTGGCACCCCAGAAATTTAATTTCACAAGCGTGAACAAATGGATGCACCAATCAAATGAAGGTACTTCTAATACTTTCAAATATCCAAGTTCATAAAAGACCTGGCAACGTATCAACCAAAAGACACCTAGCAAATTAAGTTCATTGAAGTTTTGTAATTGATGTCGTTATGGAAAGCCAGTGGTGTGTGAATAGTATAACATGAAAATGTGGTCATGCTATATCTAAATGTGTAACTTATGAACCAATATCTGAGCCATATTACAATGTGGTTACATCAAAATCTGCAAAATTTGTAACAAGAATCTTATTAAATGTTGATTAGATAGAGCTAGTTAAATTATGCGGGGCTCGCATCGACTAGTGAAATTCAATCATAAATTCTTATCACAAAAAAATAAATAAGTATAAGAATAAAACCACTCACCTTTGATGTTTTTCCTGGAGTAGTCCCAAAGCACATGAAAAGGAAAATTTATAGTTAAAACTTACGGACTCACAATTCAAAAGTTACTAAGCATTTATAAATCAAAAGAAGAAAGGATAGATGCTATCGGCTTAGAATTCCCACATCCATGCACTCTAATGCAGCATATTCAATAAATGGCTGAGTTAACCTTTGCATATATGGATACACAATCCTAAGCATATCAAAATTGAAAATAACAGGTCCCTTTTCCGAAACTGAAATGATACAAAATAAACTAAAAAGAAATTTTCTTTTGACTGCAAGATGTAAAAGGTCATCCAAAGTTGACCTCTACCTTATATTTTTGCAGTATATTCCAGACATCAGGTAAGAAGGTTTGTATTAATTCCAACAAAAGCAGGGGTACATCAATGTATTACCTCCTTTTTGTCTGCGAAATCCGGGAACTGGTGGTGCTGTGCGTGCCAAGTTTGTCAAAACCTTATCAAAAACTTTTTCTGTGTCATCCCCAGTCAAGTCTACTCTAACCTGGCAAGGGAACAAAACAAGCACTTGCAATATAAGGTCCCAAACCCTTAGACACAGAAAACGCAAAAACATATACAACCAAAACCAGGCAATTAAATTGCTATACACTTTTTCATGAAAATGAGAACAATTTATCTGCAGCCTTTAACTCTAACAAAATGTTCCCAAAGCTTGATTCAATCAAACTATCTGGATATTTTGAACACTATTCGTTTTCCTATACCATCATAAACGTGCCTAGGAATACTTGAATCCTTCATTCACCTGCATGCATAAACTACTATGAATTATCACAAGAATAATCATGTCACTTAAAATGCATGTGTGTTCTAACTGTGTTTCGATTAGATCTTGCATTGCAAGCTCACTTGTATCTTATTATCTTCTTGGGACTCTACGACAATCTTGGCGGATTTCAATGTTATGAGATTGCCTTCTACATCTGCAATAGATGCCTCTAAACCTGCAAAACCAAAATGAAAAATATATAATTCAAATTACAAACATCAGAAAACTTGAACAAACAGAAAGAGAGTAAACTGAAAAGGCTTGTAATAATAGTCAATTATCTGAAAACAACCAACCTGAACCAGCTGCATATATCAGCCTGGATAAACGAGCATGACCCGTCTTATGCGGACTACAAAACAATAATAACCTCAAAAGATTGAAAATGTTGGTTTGACGCAATTTCTTATTATGTTGCCACTGAAACTATAAGCTCCCTCATATATAATGCAATAAGCTATGCAATGCAGATACGTGAAAGGTAAGCGAAAAGTAGAATAAGAAAAAACTTCTGAGATATGCAATTTACCTCGTAAACAGCTTGCGTTGTGTGTTGCAGAACCCAACAATCCTTGTAGCGTTTTGACATGTAAGAGCACGACTGCAGTAGCTTCTAACAGGGAACTGCTGCAGCAAACTAATAAACCATCAAAAACCTTCTTTCTCACATATTTTTGCCTGATTATTATTCAGAGCAGTAGATATGACAACCATAAAAATGGTGCACACAACATGTATGATGAAATGTGTCAAAGGCACGTCTGCTACTAGTACTACGTACCACTCTAATTGTCCAATTACTAGAGAAACGCTTTACTGAAGAAACACAGAAATTGGGTGAAGTTGAGAGTTTCTTTTCTTACTTTTGGAAGCCCAAGGGACTGGAAATGAGAGGGTACTACTGTTGTCATCGTCGTCGTCAATGACGCCACGCTGCTATGCTATTGCTGCTGCTGCTGTTATAGCTTGTAAAAGAGATGCAAGAAAAGTGTGTTTTTCCAGATACAGGAATATCTTATCACTCTCAATCAACGCAGCTTTACCTAGCCTTTTAATCCTGGCCGTTAGAAAATCACAAAACACAAAACAAAAGATAACAAATAAAAAATAAAAAATAAAAGAAAAGAAGAAGGGTGCTTGTATTTGAACCCAAAAATTACGTAAGTGAACCCATCCGAAATTTTTTATCAAGAAAATTCGTAATTTACACTTCAGTCAAATTATTTAAAATTTTAAAAAAAAATCACCATACCCTCTACATTTCCACCACCAAGGACCCACTAGCCACCACACTAGAAGGACTAGTATATCATAGGAATAACATTATTTTGTTATTCTCAACAAATCACGTGCCACTATGTGGAACAATTATCATGCATGACAAAATGTAATTAGTTGGGAATAGCAAAACAATGTTATCCCCGTAACATACAAGTTTTTCTCCCACCACACACCTATAATGGTCGCGTACTTTATTGGCAGTCGAAATGAATAAATAAGGCTAGGGACGGTGTGGTGGGTTTTAGTTTTCCTCCCTTTCTTCTTTAGATGTCTTTTATACAAAAATAGAAAAATATTGAAAATCAAGGTAAAATGGGAAGTTGATTGGCAAAAATATCCGATAGGGTTTCCTTGAGATGTATTTGGATTCAAATAAAGGCACCCACGGAGGCACTAATTAAATTGTGGCTAATAAATAATGGAAAGTACAAAACAGCCAGTTTTGGAGCGGAGTAGTAACTGAAAACATAATCATGTTATGCCGTGTACTAATATATTAAAAAAGATCCGTATAGCACGTTATTGTTCAAACATTGGTAAGAATTACTGCCTCTGAAATTCTACAAAACCAGAAAGGTATATTAAATCGTAAAAGACGGATAGAAGAATTTTTAATATCAGACAAGCTCCAACTGAGAAATAAATATTAAAAACAAAAGAAAATCGCTCTCATTTTGGTCGCCCTGTCTGTCTCCCTCTCTTTGTAACTCTTTCGTGAACAGACATTTTTCTCTTCAATTCAGCAGCCTAGAAATGAAATGAGCCCGTCTCTCATTCCTCAGAGAGTGAAGAGCAGAGCATGCATCCATGCTTGGTCTTTACTTGCTCAAGAGTAAGAACTGCTGCACAACCACAGATTACTTTTCCAGCTACATTCCAGAACCTGAAGATCATTCCCATGCTGCGATGAGTGATCAACTAAAGCCTCAAGTCCTGACACAGCAATTCCTAGTCAACATGATAAAACTGTTGGCATATCCAATTCTTCCCCCAACTTTGGTACCTTATAATCAAACCAAAATCTTCCAGTACAACATCTCTCAGTGAAACTTACCAGAAACCATTCTTTGCATGGACAATTACTCCACGACTGCACCAACAACTTGCTCAATATCTGTGCTTTCTTATAGAAGATGATATTGTAGTATTAATACTAAGGACAACAAGAACATCAGAAAACAGCAAAAACAACAAATAACTATAGCCTCCAAACAGTAAGTAACAATGCATAAACACATGAATAAATGATTCAGAATCAAACCAGGAAACTACAAAGGCATATTTATAACTGACTATTCATATTAGAAACAAATTCCTGAGAAAATTAGACAGAACAAGAACAAAGAGTAGCAAAACTTAGAATCCCATTTGCAATCATTCAAATTCATTAACTAAGATAGACAACTGACTCTGTTTTACTCCAAATTGTAATGATAGTTGTAAACCCTCATCTGCTTTCTTTGAATGGTTTTGTTCTGCAAATTCAGACTAGATTTAAACTCTAGCCCTTTTGCTACTGCAACCTGGGCACTTGTACTGCTTGATATGCTCAGCCTTTGCGGGTGTAATCTTTACACATTTTCCATGGAACCATCTCTCACACACATCACAGCAAATCCAGAACTCATCAGCACCATAGTTGTCTCCACATGCCCCGCAAGTCGCACCTTGTTCATCATCTTCTTCTTCTTCCTCCCCGCTTTCCTCCTCTTCTTTGGGCAGCGGAGACATCTTTACTCCTTTGCTTTGGGGGAGCTCAGACTGCCGAGACTGCTTTAAGGCAGCACCAAAATAAGCAAGAGCTAGGATTAACTATAGGGAAAAAAAAGGCTAAAGAAGGAAGACATATAAACAACAAACAAAATCATGCAAACTAACCCACTTACCACCTTTCCACTAGATTTGTTCTTGCTACTGTTGTTGTGAGGAGCAGACTGGTCTTTTGGTTGCTTAGCATTTCCTGTCACAACTTCAAATATGGTGGGGAGATCATTTATCATCTGAAAAAGCCTTTTCCTGCAAGTTCCAAAGCCAAATAAAATTAGAACCACCTTGATATGCTAATATACATTAAATTTAAGGGAGATGTTAGCTCCTATCACTTGGCTTTTGTAGCAAGGGTTATGTTTCCATATCCTACAGCATGAATGACTCTACAATGACATTCGCAATCACATCAACAACAAAGAAATCCACTGGTCCAACATCGTAGATTATATACAACCAACAATATAATACTAAACGGAAAAAAAATTATCAGTCATAGAAGTTTGCATATCAACTTTAATCAAAATTCAATTCATCTGCACTCAGATCCCACACCACCTATCCAAAATTTGTACACAACTTCTCTATGATAGCCAAAAATGAAATAAATAGGATAGCAGTAGACGGAAGAATATCATCTGTATTTAGTCTTCAATATTGTTATATTAATTATATAAGCCCTTGGTCCCCTGCACATACAGTCATACATACATTATATATACACATACAAACATACAAACGTTGTATATGTTTATGAACCCAGATATTGGAGTAAAACCATTGTAATTGAACAAGTCAAAAAAGCTCATGTTTACTTTACAAACTCGTCCGTTTACTTTTTTATAGCCAAGTAATGAAAAGTCTAAAAAGGCGGGGCTCAAGTAATGAAAAGTCTAAAAAGGTGGGGCTCAGAATAGGTCAAGGCAAATTGAATCCTAGCAACCAATTTTCAATATTTTAAGAATTTAAATAAGTTCTCAACAGAAGAAAATACAACACCTATCATGTACAGATAAGATTCTCAATTATTCTATCAATGTTATGGCATGTCAGTATTATTGTCTAATGCAAGTAGCCATTAACACGAGCTACTTAGATATGAGTAAAAGACAGCCTTGTAATTTACCAAAAGGAAAATGATAGAAGCCCTCGGAAATGAAAGGGCACTAAGACTTATTCCAAGTGGTTGTTGCAGAGTGACAGAAGGCTTGTTTGAAAATTCAATTTAATCAACTGTAAAATACCTTTTAGCATCCCGAATCTAAAGGGGCAAAAGAGGTAGGCAGCTTTCTACTAGAACATAATGTTGCACCTAATACATACAGCATCAGAAACTTAATTGTGGCTAGGAAAACACTCACATAACCTATCTAGATCATGCAAAAAGTTTATCAAGTATGGAGTTCGGGAAAATGGAAACTACGAAGTGGGATATCGATTATCTTAAGCAAAACATAAATTTTCTTGTCAATCAGTCGTTGAATCCTAGAGAAGGAACCAATTAATGCTCAATCAGGATCCAATTGAGGATTAAGGTTCAAAGAAGCCACTGCTTGAATTTGAGTCCCCCGCAACACCCCCACCACTTATAGAGTCACTTTTCAAATGTGTCTTCTTTACCCCTGATAATAGAACCCTGGATACTGTTACTCATTCTATCCTTGACTCATGCTGATGAGTCTGTCAATACCTGTAACATTCGTAATACAGTAGGCCATGTCCTACATATCACTAAAGTATATGCAGAAATCTCATATTCAGTATTTTTTCTATGTGTAACAAAGAGTAATCGCAAAACATATAATATGAAAGGGACCTCCAATTTCAGCTCCATGCAAGAATATCAGTCATTAACGCTACCATACCAAGCATTAGTTGATTCTTTAAATGCTAGGATGTAAAGGATATGTCAATTTTTGTAAATAATATGCCATAAAGATAGCAAACAAATTTAAAACAAAAAAAGAAACATTTTCATCAGAATTTAGTCTAGAAAAAAGGAGGGAGGTTTTAAACTAGGTTTCAGTAAGTAGTAGATGCATTGAATTTGTGAATTAGCTCTAAAGAGAACTTCTAAATCTTCTGTACGTTAACCGCCCACGTATGATGCCATATTTGGTTCACATAAATATCTTATTCAAACGTGATATGTAAACCGCTTATCAATCATATGCAAGGTAAATATCAATAATAAGATGCCACTAAATGCATGAACTTATGCACTGAAAAAGGTGCATAGGATTCAGCTGATAATAAGATTTGTCAACAGAAAGTGTTGGCTCAATGCTTCATATGGCAGGTAACTCTTTTCTCTACTGCATTTGAAAATTCTATCATTAAAAGTTGCAGATATGGAGATTTTTTATATTAAAAAAACCTTGCAATAATTTGGGTTCTAACAACTGTAATAAAGTAGGAGCACAGTTCTGAAAGAAATAAAACTCAATATACCCAATCATGCTTTTCCTCCATGTTATAGGGAAGCCTCTGTTAAATCTCAACATGTTTGCATAAGAATAGCTAAGGATGAATAATAGATTCGATATTTGGTGCAACAGAGAATTTTGCATATGATAAAGAAAGTATCAGGCTACGATAAGATTAACACCAAGAATATGCCAACATTAAAATTCATCAAGATAGCTTGTGCATTTCCCAATTGATAATAAAAGATACATGCAGAAGAAAAACTATTTCGTACCTTTCATTCTTACCAAACCCAAATCGTGCACCAAAGTAAAATGCAACTGCAAGCAACCATGAATCGCTATGAACTGCAACCAGTGATAGCCAGTCCTTCTCCTGCATCCCATCCCTAGCAAAGTTTATGCCTAATGCTGGCTCGGGAAGCTCAGGAGGCACCTCCTCAACAGGCAGGTTAACTTCCCATGCCTCATTTGGCAGTCCATACAGACACAGATTCTCCTTCTCTACAAACAGAACATTTGTGTTAAGAAGAGCAAACAAAATTAAAAAAATACACTATCATAACCGCATAAAGATATTGAAATTACGTCAAAGTAGCACTTAAGATGCTTAAGCACATTGTACGGCGACTAAACATCCATCAAGTACTATTATGGTCACGTGTTCAACAACAAATTAAATGAGGCATATAAATATCATTTTCGTGCATACTTAAAGAAATAAGACCAAACTTGATACATCAAAACTTAGATATTTATTTTTTAGATATTTTATTACTCCAAACACATAAGGTGAGAGGTACTGAACAACATAGCATTGCAAATAATATTAAAATTGTAATTTGCTCCAAAAGAAATGGAAAAAATTTGTTTTTGCTCAACTGCTAATAAGAAAGTAATAAACAGAAAGATCCACTGAAAGATTAAATGTCTACAATAATGTAATCATCAAGAAGAAAAGAAAAAACCAACGGAAATAACAGCCCCACCTCAAAGGTGGCAAATTCACCTCCAATAATCTAATTGATTGTAATGAGTCTATTGAACATGCACTTACCGGCCAGATTGTAGATCAACTTGAAAAATGTGGTAAATTCAAATCCATTTAACTAGAAATCAATTAAAAGAAAAATATATGTAAATACTTCACCCACTTCTGGACTTTAATTTTATACAGCACTTGCAAAACCTTAGGACAGAAGTCAAACAACCTAAATCAGTCAGGAAGTTATAAAATTTGACTTCGGGAACCTTGCTCCACAACAGTAGGCCAGTTTACTGGGTGTGGGAGGCCATGACATATCAATGTGCAAAACCCTTAATTTTGGAAAGTATTTTTACTTCTTCGTATAAAGACTGGTGCCTCTATATATCAAGATGAGGTATCTAGTAAAACAGAAGCAAGTGCGGATGTTTTGTGTTCCAAGTGCTACAATAGCAGTTACTTTTATTGTATACAACCAAAAAAAAAACCTTACAGCTAAAGAGATTGGGTATTTTATTCATACTCATGGCTCCGCAAATTCACATTACAAATCAAGCTCCAGCATTTAGAAATTAAAACGAACAAACACATACATGAAAAAAAAAGAAAAAAGAAAAAAAAAGGCCCTTACTGCAACAACCAGAAGCATAAACATAAGAAAATGAAAAGAGAACCCACCAGGATCGCACTCTTGATAAAACTTCTGAACGTCTGCAGAAAATTTTAAAAACAAATTAAGTAAAAGCATTACAGGAAATTCAGAGACCCAAATATGCACGTATATAGATAAGTAAAAGAATTAAGATTAAGAGGTTAAAAGAAAAAAAAGCGAGCGAACCACTGGTGAGGGCCTTAATCAAGCCGGCGCGTCTGCCTCTGAAGTCGCTGAAGACTTCCTCCACTGTTCGAGGTACTGGGTGCGGATTGCCCTCCATTATGCTCTCTGTCTGTGTTTCAATTTGAATATCAATCTCAGCTGCTACCTATTGGAGAATAGAGGTACGAAAGGGAAACTCAGAGGGACATAGTGCCGGAATTGAATTGGATGTTCTTCTTGTGAATGGGAAATTAGGGTTTGTTGATTTGGTGAATTGGGGATTGTAATTGTTTTTTTGTTGTTGATAAATAAATTTAAATTTTTAGACAGACAGAAAGGTGTTGTAAGTACAAGTTATAAGAAGACTGAATCGGAGAGAAAAATATAAATATTTATATTTATATGAGAGAGTAGGGAATGCAGGATAGGATGGGAGGATTTAAAGGAAGGGCTGAGATATCACAACACAACTCGCTAGCAGCTCGCTAGCTCCGGGAAATATACCAAAAAGGGTTTTACTTGGAAATTCACATTCCCACTTTCTCTCTCCTCTACCTATTGGCTATTTGGCTCTGCTCTGTTTTCCTTCTTTTTTTTTAAATGTGTAATTTAGAAATTCTTTGAGGATCAAATGCAAACAATAACAATTTCTTAATTGAAATACGATCATTTTACCATGTGACACTTGTCATATGGCGATGCATCCACTGAAATTAGGACAAGCGTATGCTAAATTAATTAGTATATGGAAATTATACAAGCAAGGATATTAGAGTTTTGTACTAACACTTCACCCAGGAGAACACAGTGAAACTCCAACGCATAAATGAGTGGAGTTACGCAATGCATTAATGTAGATTAATAAGAAATCAAGAATTTGAGGTTTTTCCTAAGTGCTTAGTTACTCAAAGTTTTAACATTTGACCAATTAGGGTTATGTTTGATTTGTCGTCCTAGAAAGTGAGCTGTTTTCTTGGACTTGATTTTCAGTTGGATAGAATAGATAGAGCTCAAACCCACGAGTTCGAACCCGAACCGAAATGAAATTCTTACCAATATTTCATGTTTAGGGGCATTTTGGTAATTTAAAAAATATTTGAATTTTAAAAAAACTAAAAATTTCCTCCAAACCAGCCAACCTAATGGTTAAACCATTTACCTGTTTGGTTCACGGGAAGGATTTGATGGGAAATCATTTCCTATGTCATTTCCCAAGATATGGGAAATGGAAGATGTCTTTCCCATGTTTGGTAATGTTGGGAAAGTAACCGTGAAATACCATTTTATTTTCTTTCCCATGTTTGGTTTGTGTAGGAATGTAAAACAAAGTTTGTGTAATTATATCCAAGGGGGGAGGAAGGTTACATTTTCCCTCTATTTTCCCATGTGCCAAGTAACCATTTCTCATGCTTAGACTTATCAAACATGGGAAAACAATTGATTTCCCATTTGTTTCATTCTTTTCGGCCGATGTGGCCGACGGAATGAACTTTTGGTCATTCTTCTCTTGAGTTGCGTAGGCGTGCCACCACCAAGCACTGAATGGCTTGGATGGAAAAGGTTGGATAGATATGTTGCCCTTCTGACTTTTGATCAAGTGATTGATCAGCTAAGCAAGGAACCTCCTCTTGGCCTAGGTTCTTTCACTTCTTCGAGCCCGAGGATGGTTAAGCTTCGTATGGATGTTTTCGTGATTCTTATAAGTTTTAAGTGAAAATGATGCAATTAAATTAAAGATGTGATAAAACTAAAAGACGAGAATTAAAGTGCGATAAAATATATCAAATCGATAAACGAAGAACGAAATAAGAACGATAAGAACAATAAACTAAATTAAACTTAATAAAATTTCGATAACAATGAAAAGTAAAGCAATAGAAATAAACTTGAATTTAAAAGCAAGATAATGTAAATTTCAAGAAAGTAAACTTACGCTAAGAAAAGGAAGAACTTGCTAGATTAAGTGTTTGAAAAGTAAAATCCTAAGTCTAGGAAAATAAAAGTGCAAGACGAAAAATATGTTTGTGTGTCTGATAATGTGTCTTCTCCTTTCATCTGATGAGGTTTATATAGGGGCATTCGTTAGCCCATGGGCTGGCCATTAAATGGCCAAAGGTCAACTTCATTCAAAATCTTTCCTTGTGAAGCCTCCAAATCAGTTTGATCACATTGATGGAGACATTCTGATTGCTTGATTATCACTTCTTTTTGAATACTTCGGATTGTCATCAATCTCTTTAATTTCCTTCCTTATGAAGCTTCTGTCACGTGCATGCAATCCTCTAAAAATCTTGGGTTCGAATATGTGGCTTGGGCTTGGACCTTCGAGACTTTGGCTTGACATCTGGTGAGACATCGTAACTTCTGGAGTTCTGATCTTGGTTGAAACACCCACTGATGTTAGTGACTTGGAATTGCTCGACCAGATTTGGAGTTGGGTTACCACCTTGACTTGAAGTTAGGTTTCACCCCGACTTGGGGTTGGTTTGGAGTTGTGTTCCACATAGACTTGAAACTGGTTTGGAGTTGGATTCCACCTAGACATGAAATTAGTTTGGAGTTGGATTCCACCTCGACTTGGAGTTGGATTTGATCGGGCTGATCGAATAACTTGATCTTGGCTTATTGAAGACCTTGATCTTGGTTGATCAGAGGACTTGACCATGGCTGATCAAAGTGTTAGATATATGCCCTAGAATCCAAATAAAATGGATAATTCTAATGAAATAATATATAATAATCAAAGGGGCAAAAACGTTGCTTTAGATACATAATGTGCACAAAGTAACAAGTCCATGGATTAAGATATAAATGGAAAGTTGTCTAAAGAAGTTAGATGCACGAGACTTTTCCATACATATAAATATTGTATCATAAAATGTTCCTGGTCATAGGATCACCAATTGGACAATGGTGACCCGCAAAGACTGGTACACATTATATCTGCTTAATTGGGAGGATGACTAGTCTCAAGTAATTTGTGTAGAGACTCTGAGACAGATGTGTATGTGCTCTATAGAAGATGGAGTCCACTGAATGTGATCAACTCTAGAATTCTTGTATGGAAGTCTTATTCACAAGTGTCAAACAAAAGAATTCTAAGTTGTGATAATGCAAATTAATCCTTAAACCTGAGACATCACTGTTGTCTTGTGTATATGTTGTTTCTCTTTGAGAGCATTATACAGTCGTATTAAAATGATATGGCTTAAAGGTGTTCCTCAGGATTCTCAGCGTGTATGCAGAGACAGGTGAATGTACAACAAGGAATCTCTGCTCTTAGTAAGAAGATAGAATACTCTAAATATATTATTCGTGAATCTTTGACCAAAGTATTGGATGGAAATTGAAACAAGAACATTTGCAATTTTATCAAATTGAATCATCTAATCTAGAGATGTCATATTAGGGATTTTGACAAGAGTTTATCATATCCCGAGAATATGACATAGAGTATTGAATTAGAGAATGATCGAATTGCATTGTAATCACAAACTGACTAGGTTCTCTAAATGAATTCTTTTTAGCTTGGGTAGCCATGACATACTGCTAAGTGTTACTCATGGCTTGTGAAAGCCCTGTAAGGACTAATTATAGGGAGAATTGTATAGAGGGATACAATTCACAATTCCCATTTCCCTTTTTCTATTTGTGTTCAAAGAGACTAGGCTAAGATACTTGGTTTAAAATGCAAAAGGTTTAGCTTAACTAGTATAAACAAAATGAATCTGCCATTTAGAATGTCTTTGTTGTATAGGTTGTGGCTAAAGTTGATTTTCTAAGATTAGATGCATGTTTCCTTCAGCCAGCACTTTGAATCAAAAGATCCATGGAAGAGGTTTAGGTTAAATATCTAAAATTAACCATTTGCTTCCTTTGCTTCTCTTGAAAAGTTTTGTGTTTTAGTAGCTTAACCAACCTAAAAAAATCTAGAACATCTTTCATGGTAAGGGGTATACACAAACGTATGATGTAGATTATCAAAAGACCTTTGCTCTTGCAAAGATCAATACAATTCTTGTTCTCATCTCATTAGCTACTAACAATGTTTGACCTTTGTTGCAATTTCGAGTAAAAATGCATTCTTGCACATGGTGATTTTGAAGAAGTAATATACATGGATCTTCCAGGTCTCATGACAACTTCAAAAGAATGAATGGTATACAAGTTGAAGAAGTCATAATAAGCACTAAAACAATCGCGAACGGTATGATTTGCCAGATTCACTTCGTTTATGAAGAACTTTGAATACAAACAAAGTAATTATGATCACACCTTATTTTTTTAAGTGGAAAAAATGATAAAAGAATTTGTTTGATCGTTTATGTTGATAATATGGTTATTACTGACAATGATTATAATTTGAAATTTAAAATATTGAAAATGTATATGAAAATTAAATTTAAAAAAAAAAAAGATTTCAATTACTTTCTTAGGATATAGAAGTTGCTAGATCAAAATCTAATATCTTCCAATCTCAAAGAAAAAAAATGTAATGAATATTTTGACTGAAACTAGTATGCTTCAAACATCATTACCTAGATGTGGAGAGCTATATCAATGTAGATTAGATTGGCTCTATTACTGCATTCTAACTTTTTGTACTTTACATTTGTTGGTGGTAATCTTGTGACTTGGAGAAGTAAGAAACAAAAAGGTATTGCATGATAGTGTTGAGGTTGAGTATAGAAGCATGTTTGTGGTGTTTGTGAGTTATTTTGGCATATAAACTTTTTGGCAAATTTGGTAACCTAAGAGAGTTATAAGACTACATTGTGATAATAAGGTTGCTATATATTGACATAGCATAGAATCATGTGCAAGATTGTATTAAATGTGTTGAAATTTACCAATATTTCATTAAGGATAAATTTAACGTTGGAATAATTGATTTTCCATTTGTGAAGATTGAAGATCAACTATGATATTCTTATGAAGACAATCTACAATTGAGTTCTTCAAGTCACTTGACTGGTTGGCTATTGGAGATATCCATACACCAACTTATGGGAGAATGTTGGTATAATTGTGCATATTTTAAATAGCTTACATAGATATTATGTAATTGATACTTTAATTACTTTAGTTGTTGTACACGCACCACAATACAATGTTATATACATTCATCTCCACAAATAGAAAAAGACAAAGTAGAAAATTTTGAAATATCTTTGCTTTATATTGGAGTGTATATAGAGTTGTGTATAAACACAAAACTCAAAACTCCTAAACCATATATATAACCGTCAAGGCCGGCCTTGGGCCTAGGCCCCAAGGGTGATGGCCTAGGGCCCTTGAACGAGGGGGCCCAAACCTTTTTTATACTTGTAAAAGTAATATGTTGAGTCCCATTATAAATGTAATTTTTAGAGAGTTCAAAATAAAGCCCAAATAAAAACCACTCAAAATCTTTAACAATACAAAGCCCCATATTTAAAAATTATTAGTTGACTTGGAACTAGAAATATGCAATAAATCAAACACTTCCATCAAGAAAATGTTTAATTCTTCTAGTTTGGTGATTTGTTTGTTATTGTCAACTATATGATAGTTTGCATTTGTTATTTTAATTTTATTAAACTACTAAGCCAAAAAAAAAAATGTATATATATATATATGAACTATGATTACATGCAAAGAGAAATTAACGGTGCGTTTGGATGAGGGAAATAAACTTGGGATTTTGACAAAAGTCAGAATTTCTAAATTGACATGAACCAATTCCCGTGTTTAGATAAAAAAAAACATAGAAATTTAGAAATTCTGCGTGGAAAAAAACTTGAAATTTATAATTAAAAAAAAGATAACTTTACAAATAAAAGTTAAATTCCGCGTTTTAAATCCATCACTCAAACAAGAAACTTTATAAATTCTAGAACATTAATTTCCGTCATTTTAAATTCTGTCATTTATGAAATCCTTTGTATTTTTAAATTTCCTCATCTAAACATTGAAAAGTCATGGCGGCCTGATCACCTTCTGGGCCTATAGATTCTCTTGTGCTAGGTTGTATAGGCTTTTAGCTAACAGGATAGAATTTCTGGAATGTCAACATGCATGCAGTGGCTATCTTTTTAGGCCAAGCAACATATATAGTCTCACCATCTATTAATTAAGGAATAAATAAAAGAGAGAGGGCAATAGCTATAAATTAGGTCATATATATATATATGTATGTATATATTCTAGAAGAAGCATTTGTGCCAAGTGGTATATAGCTAGTCTAAAAGTCTGGCATGCGAATTGCAATTTGCAATGCCATCATATCATATGGACCTCTCTCTCTCTCTCTCTCTCTCTCTCTCTCTCTCTCTATATATATATGAATGAAGACATAGCTCCTCCTAATAGCTATAGCTCCACGATGACATTGACGACGCACGCACAGCTGCTCGCCTGCGGGTCTCGTTGACTTGTAAGTAGTACGTATTTAGGTTATAATAATAACGCCAACCTACCAATTCATTTCACACGCGGTTATGTTAACTTATTATTATATATATCCCCACCCCAAAACACAAAGAAAGAAAGAATTGAGCTAGAGCTAGACCGGATCCCAATGAGAATATATAATCTCTGCTATTATTAGCTGCCTTGCCTGCCCCATGCTATCTGCTCTCTCTGCTCTCACTCTGAATGTGTGTGTCTGTTTTGTTTGTTTGTGAGAGAGTACTACTAGAGTGCGAAACACATTACTCTCAATTAATCCAACTCCTTTCTATTTTATAATAGATCACATGAAGAACAATACAAGACTTATATATTCCAATTTGCGCATGTGTAGAGTCTAGAGCGCTTGTGGACTGTGGTCCAGCGACCTCCTTTACAATTTACATCTGCAACACTTTCTCAGATATGGACCATGACATCCTCACTACTCTTGTGCCCTATCTATTGTGTTAATGCGTGGAGGGGGCGGTTTCCCCTATTCCTTTTTTTTCTTTGATCGTAAATTTTCAAACCTTTGTCCACATGAGTTGAGGTGGAAGAACTCAACCAACTAATCTATACCTTATTAGCGAAACTTTAAAATTGTTTATTTTAGAACTCTCGTGTTATATTAGACACTAATTTTGGTCTTTCAATTAGGTACATATTATTTTGAATATACACGAGTAGATATGTTATTGGTCATATTATTTCTAGGTAAATTGCATATCCCCTAATAGGATGAAAATCAAAATGCCCCTATAATTTAATCATTAACAACACATAATGAACCTTTTGAGCTTAAAAATAATTTATGCTGAGGATACTTTGAGAACACCAGAACAAAAATGGCGAAACCTATAATCATCATCTATCTAATAACATCTACTTCATTGACACTTGTTAGTTAGGTTGAAATCTTATAGAGGTTCAGAGACGATCCTGAAAAAAACAAACAAGGGGAAACAAGAGTCACCCCATATATATGACTTTGAAACCCTAATTAAGCACCTCCACTCATGCATTCAAACACAGTAATTAAGGATTATATCACATGTTATAGCGGCCATAACAAAAGGTAGTAGGAATTAATTAATTAAATTAATATCCCATTAAATCAACACCCTGCCAAAGCAACATATGATATACATGAGTCATCACATATCAAAGAAGAAAGTATGCATAAGCTAGCTAGAACATTAAGCAATTAGAGTACAGGATTATTAACGACAAACCAGCTAGCTAGATAAATCATTTATTAGAGTTTAGAAGCAGCGAGCATATATAACTAATTCATTATAAGTAGTGTATCGGTGGAATTAATAGCTATATTTATATATATATATATATGTAATTAATTGATTGATTACTTGAATGGATTGTTGTAGTCCGGCCGATTTGGATCTGAGATTGGATTCCAGTCCCATAGGCGGTCGGAGAAAGCAGTTGGAAGTGCGTTGGGGGCCAGCTGCTGCGGCGGTATAGCTGATTGTACATGTGGTGCTGCTGCAGGGAAAGTGGAGAAAAGGTTGTTGGGTTGGGGATGATGATGAGCATCATCATAGTATTGTACCACTTGATGATGTACATGTTGTTGTTGGTGATGACTGGAAGCTGCAGCAGCCTGCTGCTGTACATGTTGGTAGGTCAAAAGTCTTTGAAGATCATCAATTGCATTCATATTGGAGGACGAAACAGAAGAAGAACCCGCGGTGAAGAGCGTTGCAGATGAATTAGTACTACTGGGGATCAGTGAAAAGCAATTAGCCGCTGCTTGCTTTGAGTTTGAGTGGTGCAAGAAGGCCGCCATCCCTTCTTCCTGATCAAGTGGATGATGATGAGCTTGTCCAATGTTGTTGTGGTGGTAGGCGTTACGCTTGGAAAGCCCAAGAACTGTTGTGACATCTGAATTTCCGCTGCTTCCTTCAGGCTCGACGCTCATCTTTTGATCTACCTGATGCTCATGATCCTGATGAAATTGCTGTGATTGGCCTTCATTAAAAGCTTGGAGTTTCTCCATGATACTATGAACTGTGTTAATATTATTGTTATTAATATTAGTACTAGTATTGTGCTGCTTTTTGTTGTCTGATGATATGGTCGTGGATGGAGCCACAAGTACCGATGATCTTGATGTGGATGCTTTGGAGGCCGGAAGGGAACGAGGGAGCGATGGGTGGTCTTCAACTCCAGCTCTCTTGTACACTCGACATAGAGATATTTCTCCCTGAAAAGTAAATTCAAGCTAAATTAACCATCCATCAATCCACTCAAAGCAAGAAAGGAAAATTGAAATTATCTGTGTCATCCATCCATTCTGCATATTCTCTTAATTCATTTCCTTTCTAATTACGAGCTACGGGTTCATGTACTTTGCTGTATATGAATTTCAGTAGCAAATTAAGATGGGCTGATTAAGCCCTATAAAAATTATACAACAAACACGGAAACTCTTGATCAATTTTTCAATCTAGTCCCTGGAATTTTTTATTTATCTTTATTCATTAATTTGTTCACAATTTTCCTGCCAAATTATTCGCCCCGAATGAAAGAGAATCGATCGGGATCCAATTCAAGACTAATATTTGGAAATTGTGAGCTAGCTAAGCTAGGTTTAGCAAACTGAAAGTTATTTTTCTTTCTTGGTCTGAAGCAAACTGAAAGTATATGGGCTGTACTTTGTCTCTTATGTATGCGTGTAAAGTTGAAGCTTGTGAACGGGTATAACGTGACTCAATCATCAATGGTAATTGCGACCTAATTAAACTTGATGTTTTTTGTTTTTGTTTAAATCTACCTATATAAAATATACATATATACATATGTACCTTTTGATATCGTTCAGTTTCATGATGCGGCAAGCGATACTCGTTCATGATCCAGCTAGTTCGGATGCCTTTGGGAGCTTTCCCAGAGTAAAAGACTAGGGTTTTCTTGAGCCCAATTGAACGGAAGTTCTCGCTTCTGATCATGCGGTCGGCTCCGGTGGCCTTCCAGTACCCAGAAGTAGTCACCCGGTTAGGCCTATCCCCGTTGCGGTACTTGCGGTCTCTTGGCACATAAAAGAACCATTCCTTTTCTCCAATTGCTGCCATGGCTGCACGCACGCAATCAAACACAGAGATAAATATCCAAGGATTAGATTGAATTGGATTGAACAATTCACATGTGCTTAATTTAGATAGGGAGAAAGAATTTTGATTGCATATGTATTGCGTGTGTGTATATATATATACAGTTAGTTAGTTACCTGGAAGCTCCCAAGGGTCATAGCGATAAAGATCAAGAAAAGTAATGAGCTCAACGTTGAAGCGCTTGCCCTCAACCTTACGGCGAAGGTAGAACTCTACAAGTTCTTCCTCAGTAGGGTGGAAGCGAAAGCCCGGCATCACCATGTCGTGCTCATGCTCATCATCATCATCACCATCATGATGATGATCATGATCATGATCGGCCTTGTTGGATTCGTCGTTAACGCTCATAGTTGATGATGATGAGGTTGTTGTTGCTGCAATTGCCATAAACTGATTAAAGCTAACTCTAACTCTAATTAAAGCTCATGAAGCACCACTATACTCACTCTCCTTTCCAATATAGCTAGCTAGCTAGCTTGGGCGTCCCGCTGCCCTCTTTATACGAAAAACTCACTGATAAAAGAGTTATTTTGTAGCAATTAACTGCTATGCAACTGCAAGTGGTAGGCAAGATAAGAGATGGTTAATATGTCGTACCATGCCCTTAAAAAGTTTCTCTCTCTTCCCCCCCCTCTCTTTCTCTCTCTCCCCCTCTCTCTTATTAATTTACAGGGAGAAGAAGAAGAAGAAAAAATAAAGAAGAGAGAGAGAGAGAGAGAGAAGGAAATAAAAAGAAAAATGGAGAGCTTTAGTAAATAGAAAGATCTACATATCTTTCAGGCCCTACATAGAAGAGGTATGCGCTAAGGTGTTTAAGATGAGAAAGTGACATTTCAAAAACAAGGACAGGGTGGCCACAGCCCCTTGGCGGTGCCCCTGGACCTTTCTTTCATCATTATAATTAAAAAAAAATTATAATTCTTTTTGTTTTTGTGTTTAAATTTTATAATCTTCAACAAGCTCAAATCTATCACTGTACCTATTCCATTGTTTTTTTCCTAGAAAATTGGATATACATATGTTAAATATTAATTAACAGACATAACTATGCAAGTTGTCTAACCTAATTCCAACCCCCAAAAAAAGAAGAAGAAAGAATAATGTAGAAAACCCAATTTCAGCATGCCATGTAAAATCTGAGAAACAAGACTTGGTTGTAGGTAGTATAAATTATGCTGGTGAACTGCTTGTATGGTATATATGTATATATATATATATATATATATATTTTCTGAATGCATATGGCATGCATGCTCATATGAATTTGACACACATTGTTCTTTTCTTAATACAATAATGTGGTAGGTATCACGTGCCATGTAAGTTGGGGTAAAAGGAAAAAGGGATATATATAATAGCATTTTCCTTAACTACATGGTTTACTGCGCATTTAACTCACATGCACACTCATCCCATATGCACTCAATTTCGAGTACCTCTTTTATTTAGATTAAATTAATTTAGAGTTGTTTAGACTATCATTTGTATATATATATAAAATTATATGTCACATGAATAAATAGAATAAGTCTATTAATTGTTTATTATTTTTATGTGTATAATTACTCTTCTTTCACCGTTGCTTACTAATGTTGTAAACTTCTTTTTAATGTGGAAAGGGTGATTCAAACTTGGAATATTTTTCTACATTTTGGAAGAGAAATACCATTAGACTAGGAGTACCCTTATCCGACATTAGAAAGAAAAATACCATTAAAGTAATAGCTAGTTGATAAGTTGCTAAAAATTTAAGTGCATAAATATATATTAGCGTAAATGAAACCGAGTTCAATTAAAAATAAGTAGTAGAAAACTTTTGTTTTTTTGTTGTAAACCCCATATAGCAACAGCCAAATTTTGAACCTCATAGTCAGAATAATTAAATTTTTGGAAGGCAGATGCTAAATATCTTTTAAACATTTCGTAATTGTTAAAATTTTGATGATTCTTGTCGTGTCGTGTCGTGTCAGTGCATTTGTAGGCTAGCTAGCTGTCTTGAGGGTCGTTGGTTGATTCGTTGGATTACATTTTGATTTTGTTGATATTATATTATTTTATATAGGAAAATGCAAGAAATTAGAATGCAAATAAATTAGCATTTAGGTTTCTAATGAATTTTTTATAATGTAATTCGAACAAAAAAGATGAACATAAAATTGTATCTTTCTGAATATGAAATTACGACGGTATGATAGGAGAAAAAGCAAAACAAAATCAATATAATAAAGTAATTTCGCATTATGCATCCCAGTTGTATGAAAGTAATTGGCAGGGAGGTGGCGGTGTGGGGCTTGAGAGGAGCAGACGCATGCATGCATTATAATTTATGTATGCATAATGCATAGGTGGGGTTGGGATGTATATAATTTATATAATTTTAATTATATATGCAATGCATATAATTATATATGATGGTATACTGAGTGTATATGTGAGTCAAGAGAAACCCGTGACCAATCTCTTTTCCTGATGTCTGATAATGACATAAGGTACGGTTTTCCTCTTCTTTTGGTTCTATTATACATATTATTCATGTCTTTATATTATTTTTATACAATTTAATAATAAGAGTATCATTAAAATATTTTGCATATAATGTCTAAATTAGAATTAGACCGTTTGTTTATCATGACCAATTAATGTCTAAATTAGAATTAGTTGACTGTTAGGCTTAAGCACCATATAATCTTGTTGAGAGCATAGGTGGATTCAAAGAGGAAAGATAGGAGGCTATTGCCCCCACTCAATAAGTTGTGTCCTTTTTTATATAAGCGATATTCTACTTTAAACTAATTGAAATTATGTGGAGTAGGATTCAAACTCGAGTGCATATATACTTGGGAGCCACATCTACTTTATCCAACTTGGTTCAGCCTCTACAAAGATCTACAATAATTATGGTGAGGGGCAATGAATAAAGTTGACCACCCCAAAAAAAAAAAAAAAAAAAAAAAAAACCTCAAACGCAAAGTTTGCATCAAAGGTCTTCTTCTTTTGAAAAAATATTTGGATTGGGAGCTTCACTTGTTTAATCTTAATTCGGGAAAGAAATATTTTTGAATCTGTCACTGGTTGAGAAGTTTGAATTCACTGGAATCACCACTTGCATGATCATGACTGGTATCATCCAATCCAATCATGTCATCATCATCACCATCATAGTCATTATCTCTCTCCCTCCAATGGATCATCATAGTCATTATCTCTCTCCCTCCAATGGATCAACCAGTTGTTTACAATTAAAGTTTCGTAAATAAAACGTTTTTGGATTTTGTTTTTTTGCTCTGCTATGCAAAAGCCAAACCGTGTCGTATTAGAGGACTAAAAACATCAAAATGGGTCCGGAGGAATCCAAGAAAAGAGAAGGGCGCCAAAGCTAAGGTTAGTCTGGATATATCTTAGTAGTGATCGATCATGCATATATATACAAGGAAGCAGAGAGCACAAGTTTAAACGCGTGAAGAAGCGAGAAAATAAATTCCAGTAAATTCTTGTAATTATTATCTGGAAACATGCATTTTCCATAGAAATCACTTGCTTTATTTTGTCCTTTTCTCTCCAAGTCTCAAATAGGTTGAAAGAAATAATGATGCCTGCCTTCGAGAAAGATCACTCACTTGACTCTTTCACCATGGGAGGGTGCAATGAATACGCATATATATATTTTTGAGACGCCAAAAAGCGAGAATTTTCAACGATCTTGACAACTTTCAACTTTTTATAATTATGTTATATTATTATTTATCAAAGAAATAGAGGTTTGTCATATACGAAGAGTTTCAGTTGAGAGATCATTTAAATAAGTTTAAACGAGGACGTCCTTATGGGACCCATTCATATTATATTTTCATAATTAATTCAAACCGTGTATCTTTTAGGAAAGTGTGTGAAACCTAGCTAACTAACTAGAATCAGCAAACCGCACAGTGGTGGTATTATTCCAACTAGAATCCATAGCTAAAAAGATTTGGTAAATAATTTGGTGGATTTAATCGGCTACGAAATTGCAGGTAGGTGATGTGATTTAACAAAAATGATGAAAGTCAGGCTTATAATTTTCACCCACTTCCAATATCGTATGCATCACTAAGCCGATCAACATTGACTTTATGTATGCAAATATTATTTCTTAATGCCAAGAAATAAAGAAATATGAATATGCCAAGATGGGTGTGTCATTTTCAGTGTGGACCGACCACTCAGATACAGATAAAATCTTACATTCTGTTAATATGTATGAAAACTTGTCCTTATGCTGGAAAGTTGTAGCGCTAGCTGCCCACTAGTTTGTAGTTTCTTCCGGATCCACAACATTTTATCAACTTTTTGTTTCGTTTCGTTTCGTTTGTTCTCATAAGCTTTTTTGGTTCCTTTTTTCCTTTTGACGTTTTAGATATTTCACACAGAAATCTGATATTGACTCTCTCTGCGTCTGTACATGATCATCATTCATGGACGGAAACCACCAAGTCATCTCATCACTCACAAAGTTTATCGTCAATGCCAACTAGTATATTAATTTTATATGATATTATTACTTTTGGATTTATATATGCGTGTCAAAACTCAAACACAAGACAGCAAACGAGAAAAATCGAAAACCAGGAGGATCACAAATATATTATATAAAATATTACGTAGTGGTGCGCTCCATCGTGAAGTCAACTTACTAGCTTACTAGCTGTTGCACTGTACCAGATTAGGGCTGCAAAACTGGTTTTGTGTTTCCCCAACCCAACCCAATCTCTAATTTGTAATTATAACATTGTGCAAGTCTCCTAATTAGGAATGCTTAATTACAGGGTCTCACAGAGATTTCACTTTAATTAAAATGGTTAAAATATTTATCCTTACATTCAAGGTTCTATATTCAATTTTATCTCTCTTAATATCGCTTATATATAAAATATCATATTCATAGAGCTTCAGTGGTCACTGAACTTGTATATACATGAGCTTTAGTTTGGTCCTACAACTCGCTCGTTCGTGCAAATTCAGCCATTCCGTCTCATTCCATCAATTTGAAGGGTAAAACCGTCATTAGCAAACAAGTATCTTGCAAAACGACCTACCCAGTTCTCTACTACCCATTTCCCCCAAATTGAAACCCTAATTTACCTATCTATCTCATTTCCCTCAAATTGAAATTCCCCAAATTCAAACCCTAGCCCATCAATAGAACCCCATTATTTGATGTTATGAGTGGTTTATTGGTTTAATTTCTACTTATGAACATTTTAATTTACAAGATTCGAAAGGGATTTTTAATTAATTAATTAATTAATACGGATCAACTACATATATAAAACCCCCCAACTTTTGGGATCATTTGATATTGATACTATCAAACTCTGAAGACCCTACAAATTCATGCTCAAAATTGGTCATTTGGTTAATGTAGAGCTTCTTGGACAAGTACAATTGAAAATACGTTTCTCGTGGTGAAGTCCTTAATTACTACTTGTTATGGAGTCAAATTTTGGCATTCAATTTAGGTAGGTAACTGCAAGTAATCTATGTACATATATATAATTGTGGAAAATGGATAGAATTGCATGGGAGTCATCACCATGATCGTCATCAGCTAGAAATATCTGGAAAATATATAGTACATTCGTATAGATGATGAAGACTCAAAAATAGACTAAGAGAGGATATAGCTAGATGAAAGTGTCATATTAAAAGAGAAAATGGATCTCTCTCATAATATATAATCTCATCTTCATATATGCCTAGCTAGCAGATAGCTGATGCTTATGGGGCCACCTATATAGCAAGATATTGATGGACCCATTTGGGTTCATTCTTGAGGGTACATTATTACTTTTCCACACCACAGGCATCTCGTGGCTTGGACCAGTTTGGCGGTTGTCAACCCGCTTCTTTGGATGGGCATGCATGACCAATATTGGGTATTGGGACTCTGTGTGTGTGTGAGAGAGAGAGAGAGAGAGAGAGAGAGAGAGAGATATTTATGTACCAACCACAACTTGATGCATACATACATATAATTGAGTTGAGCAGCATGATTAATTACCACAAATTAAAATTAAATATATCAAATCAAATCCCCAAGGGAAAGATATGTGAGAGATGATCATTTGAATACATAATGTTATAGAGCAAAGGCATGGACGGATTAGACAAGTTGGGTGTGGCCCTCTCCTCTGTGGGGCTTAATAATTTGGGGAATTGGCCATGGCCAGTGGCCACCAATCACCGACCATACGAGAATGAAAATGGGACTGCATGTGTCTTTGTAGGGTTTTGGGCTTCAACCGCCTAACCAATCTTCTTTTGTAAAGGACGCTCATGATTTGTCATTGTTCTTCGACTACTGCCACATAAAACAAGCAATTCCATTCATGGAGAATCTGCCTCTTTTGTTCCTCAGAAAAATAAAAGAAAAATTACAAACCCTCTCTTTTCTCTTCAAGGTCATGCACCTTTTTAAGGATGACGTCGTATGCTCATTATCAGAGAGAGCTTACAATGATATATATATATATATATATATATATGAAGTTTAACCTAGCCAGGTCAACACCGCTATAAATATGAAGTTTAAGCACATCAACTGAACAACACAACCTCTAGATAGATTCCAGAAGCCAATCCCAAACAGATTTCTTTAATTATATTTTTTAAAATGATTCGTACTCGGATTTCATACAGATCGTAAGCACAACTTGCCTCCCAGATTTCATACTATATATTTTATTTAACCCAAACCCGATACTGAATGTGCGGAATTTTATTTTATTTTTCCATTCAATTTTTCTTTGTAATACTTTTTCGTGATTTCTATAGTTGGTTCATATTGTCATTTGAGCTCTTTAGATCAAGATGATTTAAATTCCTTAATCAACTTATAAGGCAAAGAAAAGGATCATGTCATTGGTGTGATAATTTCACATTTACTTTCTCATTCTGCCAATAATTTTGTCACAATCGTACAACACATTTAAGGGATAAATTTACAGGAAAAAGTCACTTTCTGTCAAAACTGAGTAAGTGGAGTTAGTTGTTGAGGGGCATTTTGGTCCAAAAACAAAGGATTGAAAACAAAACGATTAAAAATGAAAAAGAAAATGAGGCATTCAACCCAAGCCAGGGGAAGCTGTTGGTTGAGGTAGGAGGGCGGAGATGGTGAACAAGGAAGAACTTGCATGTCACGAGGATAACAATGTTTTGCTATCTCCAACCAATCACGTTCCGCCATATGGAACAGTTATCATGCGTGGCGAAACATGATTGATTTAGGGATAGTAAATAGTGATATCCCCATGATATACACATTTTTTTTCCTAGGAACAAGACCTAAGCGTGAGACCCAAAAAATATGAAAAAAGAGATAGGAGGCAGGCAAAGAGGGGTTCGAGGGCGAGAATGATCGAAGGGTTCTTGATTTGAATTCACTTGAGCTGGTACGAGACCCAGATGATGAGCAAATTGGTCTCGGCACAATGAAAGGCGGTCATGGCTGCGAGCATGAATAAGATGAAAGTGGCTAGAAGAGAGGAGTTGCAGAAGAAAGAGATCTCGGAGAAGATGAGCCAGACATCAAAGAAGGCAACATACTTAGAGTTTAGGGTGTTGACAATGTAGGAGACCATGAGGCCTAGGTTAGGGTTGCGATCACCGACGTGCCGTTGAGGTCGAGGAGGAACACGGCATATGGAATGAGGGCGACAACGATTCAGGCGTTGTGGGCAAATGTGTGGATAGGGAGAAATGAGAGTTCTTAAGAGATCTAGAAGGACCACCTCCACCATTGTTGAAGACTGAGTCACTGGGGCTGTGACTAAGGCTAGGGTTTGAAAACCACATGGGCAAAAATGATCAAATTGAAACCACATGGACCTTAATGATAAAAATAATAAACTTCAGGAACTAAAAGTGACTTTTTCCCTAAATTTACTCATAGATATTTAAATGTCTTTCCTTAAAGATTTCTTTTATTTTATTTATTTTTAGACTCGAACGAACTACCGCAATAACATCATTTATCACATTACATAACGGGGGAGGCCCAGCCTTCATCCATACCATGGTAGGATAAGAATTCAGTACTCTAAGTTTGGCTAAACAGTTGGCTAACAGCTACATTAGAAAAGTAAAAAAACCACTAAGAACTAAACACGTGAACCCACTGTCACAATTCTTATAAAAAAAATTCAAATTCCAGTACTAGTTAAGGGTGCTTGGTCCTGGAGAGATGCCAAGTTAGGTAATTACAATGACTTTTCAGTGGCATTGCTTGACTTGGCTTGGCTTATATTTGGTGTGTTTTAACAACGAGAGCGTGCCTATGTATAAAAACAAAAGCATGTTTAATTATGATAAAATAATTATCTTAATTTGAGTTTTTAGGGTTACTGAACTTGTAGCCAGCGAGTTGCTTTAGACATATGCATACCGTCTTCTTTTCACACTTAAAATTCTATGACAATAATTTATGTTACAAGTGTGAGGCACATTCGGCTTCAGTGCAATTAAGGTAAGAGAGGTGGAATTGAAGTATGGATGTCCTGTCCTCACAGGAGTACGTACGTCGCGTAGAATTTATGTTATTATCAGATGATACAAATAATGGAACCAAGTGTGCCATGCTAAAGGCAGGGATATATCCATCGGTGAAGTTTGGTAATATCATAATGGCACTTAATATGTGAATTGGTACTCGTCCTCCCAACCCATGACCAGTCTATATATATAAGACCAAGACCAAGAACAAAGACCATGCACAGCTGTTATGTGACCATCGCAATCCAACCGATCGAGCTAACCCAAACCCCACCAACAAGACCAGACCATACCAGCTGACCACACCCTTTTTTTCTTTTTTCTTTTGACTAAAGTTAGGAAAGGGGAGGCAGGAAACTTACACACACTAGGTACCATGGGACTTGAACACAAGATCACATGCCCTATGATGAGATGGGAGTACACCAAAGATCTGGGCCAATCCAACTAACACCTCATTAGTCCACACGCTTTAAATATATATATATATATATATATATATATGTGTATCATCATATGTATGCATGGTCAGAGCAGAGAGCAGGGGGACCCTCAACAGGATTAATGGAACACAAAAAGACTTGTCAGTTATAAAATCATAGTGCATGCTCGTACAAAAACTTCGTTGTCATATGAAAAGGAGAAGAGGAAGAGTTGTTGAGTTGAGAGCATTGTATTGTAGCTCTCTCTCTCTCTACTCTATAAGATACTAATCTGCCGACTATTAACTTCATGCACCGCTGCAATTGGGACTGCATTAATTTTGTGCGGTGAGCAGTATGTGGCAAGCTACACAAAAACCAAAAGAAAACAAAACAAGGAAAAGAACCAGTTATATATTAGTTGTTAATAGATTATGAGAGATGAAATGACAAAAACAAAAGACTACAGGGGAGGGGAAGGAATAGGAAGGTGACCTGACAGGTTTCTGATCACAATCAAAAAAACATGGGAGGGTCCACTGGCACCGTTTGATTTATCCTTCCTTCCATCCAACCAACCATCCATCATCCTCCTTAATTGAAGAAGAGTCAAGTATTTGACCGTCTGACCAAACCCAGACCCTGACCTTGTGTTGACTTTCTGACATAACATTTAATGCTTGTTTGAGTTAAAAAATAATAATAACAAAAAGAGCTCCTGCTCCTGCAATGCAATCAACCAACACAAGCACTGCAGCAGGCAGGATTCCCGTGAGTCTTATTTACAGTCACTGACGTCACCATCCATTTTTACCAATTTATTTTGTGTTTTTATTAATGCCTTGTCTCAACGAGTCATTTTTACTACACTTGTAAGTTGCTGCAACCAAACCCTAATTATCTAAAATGTAAAAAGTTTATGTAACTCATGAAATGATGATCTTTTTCAAATGTAGAGCTTTGCATGCAGTGATCAGTGATCAGTGATGAGTAGAGGAGGAGGATATGGACCATGCCACCGTGGTGATGAATAAGACAGCGCAGGGTCAACACATTTTCTGGCACCATTCAATGCAAGGCTATAGATATTATTGGTATGATTTATATCAGTGCGGTAGTATAGACAAACTTCACAATTGCAAATTAAATTCAAAGCATACTTGTTTTGACAGCGAAACCGCATTCATGTATTCTCCCAGCACCGGTGGTGGTAGTTTCATTTCTTAAATTAATGGGCCAAACTTTTGATATGATCATGTGATGTGAGGAACTACTAGTTGCTTGTCTTGTGTGTTTTCGCTCTTTCTATATCAACTTCATTAATTTTTATTGGTGAGACAATACTTGAAAACCATTACAACATAAAACTACGTACTAGCTAACAGTACAAACTTTTACGGACTATAAGCTAAACTAGGAGTTACCAAAAAACAGCTTCATTAACCGTTTAAACCGGCCGAACGAAACTAATTTTATTTGTTTGGTTCAATTTTAACTTTAGAAAAGTCTAATCTTGGACCGAAACAAACCAAATCTTAATTAATTTGAATTGGCTTATATCGAACACCTTTATATATATAGCACTTCACATTTTCTTATTAATCATCCTCATCTACTTTTATACTAACTACATCATGCACATTGATATAACCTTTAATAGAGTTAGATTGTTATAGTTCCTTACTTTGATGGAATGTTGAATGTTATTAGAGATTTATAATTTAGGATGCCGGATGCAATCTAATTGGCTATACATGTGCTTAAAATTGTTATGATTGTCACCTTGATAATTTTGGTTTCACAAGATTATAACAAGTAAGAAATATTTGATGTGTAGAGATGACAATTGGGCAAATCGGGGTATGCCCTTCTCATTCCCATCCTCGTTAAGTTGTTTTCCCAATTCCCACCTCCATACCCATACCATTCAATCAGGGATTCCAAATCCCCATTTTCATTGAGAAACTGGTCTCGTCCTGCCCTCTTACAAAAGTACAATAAAATATTTGAAAGATAAAATAAATAATTAAAAAAAGCTAGAAACTATATCGGACTAGGGCAACTGACAAAACCAAAGTTTTGTTTTTTACTTATATTCTCTATGTATTATTTAATTTAATATATAATATAATATGTTAAATATAAAATTTGGTGGGAATCATATGACACATCTAGAAGCCACTTAACAATATATTCATATAAAAAATAAATTATATACATTCTAATGAGTGTTTGAGTCGAGAATTAAAATATCATCTTCGCCCTACTTTACTCGAAATTTTCCTATACCCAATTTCTATCATTCATTCCCGACTCAATATGGGTGAAGCTCTGCAAAGACCTTAACCTGCAGTGCGGGGAAAATTGTCATCCATATCATTCATCCATAACAATAGGTTTGTTAAGTTTCCAAATATGAAATTATTATGTCATTTAAAATGACTATTAAAATTGGAAAGTGTGTAAATGAAAATTCTAAAAATAAAAAAAAGAAACACTAAAGAAAATTATATATTTTTGTATTGTAAAATGGGGCTAAGTGACTATATGTAAAGATAGAATTGAACTCAAGTCGAACTAAGTTGAACTATTAATGGTCGTTTTCCTTTTATTTATTTATTTATTTTAATGTTTTGAAACCAATCCAAACCGGAGCACAACCATCCCAATAGTAAACTAACAAGTAAAAAACAACACATATATACGTAATGTAAAGTGTTGAAAAATGATAATGCTTCTCTCATGTGGATGTTTGTAAGTGGTAAGGAAAACTGGTTTTGTAATATCCTAAGCATAGTTGGGCTTTTAAAGCCCAGCTAAGTGAATTTAGCTGGATTTGATATTTATATGAGGCCCAAACCAAGTTGTGCCTGCAACAATACCTAATACCTTGAGTTTCTTGACCCTAATTTTTTTATATTTAAAATAATATTGTTGAAGAAGAATTAAAAACCTTGAGTTTATTAGCTTTCTAAAAGACGAATCTCACTTGCAACCGGCTTGTAATTCAAGTGTTTAAGAGTATTTATCTTGCAACTTTGGTCCAAAGTTCGACTCCCCCTCTCCCAATATCACTTATATAGAAAGAAAAAAATCTCATCAAGGTTTTATTTATTTTTAAATAAGTCACATCCCAATATAAAACTAACACAAAAAACTTTATGGACATCTAAAAAACTCATGAATTTCTTTGAACACCCAAATTGGACACCCATACCTTACCATCAACCCCTAAGCTATCTTTCACTCTCAAAGCCTTATATACTTTACGGCTCATTTGGTGCCTAGAATTGTATTAGATTAGACAAATTTCTACATTTTGTAGATTAGATAACTTTCTTTGTTGTGGTATATTGAAGGCGGAAATGAATAGACGCAAATGATTTTTTATGTTGGGGAGATTAGAAGGAATAAATTATAAGGTAAGATCAATTTTCTTCATAAGTAATCCATCTTTTTACCTTCAACTTGGACAAAATTTATTCATTTCTTCATTCAACATACCTCCAACCCAACCCCAAGCACCAAACGAGACTTAAGTCGCCTAAAAATTGCTTACACCTAAGTCTTTTCTTCAATGCGAGTCCAAACTAAAACATGCCAAAAAAACTTAATTTGCTTCCTCAAAACCATCATAGATGTTGGTTGTTTCATTAAGTAGGAAACACACAATATATCTAGTTCTAATGTGATTTAGGGGTTAAAGAGATATAGAAAGAGGTGAAAGGGAGATATGATTGTCCCAAGTAAATATATTAATCAATAATTGGGTTTAGCTATGTTCGCTCTAAAACTAAACAGATAGAAATAGAAGCAACTTACAGGTGACGTGGAAGGTCTAAGGACCGATTGAGCCCTTGGTGCCAGCACGTTCTTCCTTGGGATGCTATGCTAGACCTGGGCTAAGGAGAGAAACAACAAATGAGGTCTAGAGCACCGGTGTGGTACCATCTGAAGACCTTCCGATGCCAAAGTAAGTTGAGAAAGAGCTTTGCTATTGACAAATGCTAGAGCATGAGAATCAAGCTGAAAATCTTACCATTTGTCTAGGGCAAGGGGCCCTATTTATAGAGAGTGCCTGGTATGCTCTTAGTACTTAGTTTCAATGTGGGACTCGTGAGAGTGCCTTCTAAGATCGACACGAGTCTCCATAAAATATCAAAGTTGAGGGGGGGGAAGGGGGGTGTGGTTTTGAGTTTGTCTCGCATAATTGGCATGGCGCACCGATCGTATGTCCAAGGAGCTTCTAGGAGTGCTTGCCCGGGGAGGGCTATGCTGGGTGATGAATCGGTCGTGGACGTTGACCCATACCTAACAGGTCTATTAGTGAGCCACAGTGTTCCTTAACTTCATACTCTTTCCACGTGTCATGATGTGAGTGGAGGGGTTAGATACGGTACAAACAAGTTACAAAAAAAAAAACCCCCCTTTGACATTTGGAGTAAAAATGACCCATATTTCAGTTTGAGTTTAGTCAATATTATATTTGATCAAAAAAATAAACCTCCCTCCCCACTCCTACCGGGCATGGAACAGGATAAAACTTATTAGCCAAACATTCTTGTTCCCAAATAAAGTAAAAATACAAATTTATAAATAAACCCAATCCTAGACATGTATTTATAAAAAAACTCAAGCACTATTTAAATATAGAAAGACACCCAAAATCAACAATTGTATATTTTTTGAGTGTGTTTATAAATGGGTTTTGAGTGTGTGTAATGATGATTTTTGGGTGTGTTTATAAAGTGTTTTGGGTGTTGGGTTTTTTTATAATTTCAGTCCCCATTTTGGGTGTTTTTATCAAATGTCTCAAATCAAGTTACAGTCAAATGTCTCAAATCAAGTTACAGTCAAATTGAGTCTTTATCAAGTATAGGCATCGTCCTTAATACTAGAGAATTCAAAAGTTTAGATGTTGAAGCTTCATGATTATATCCCTTTCAAGTCGAGCTTGCCAGTTTTCATCCAAATTCAAAACTTTTGCACAAGTACATTGTACCCTGTCAAAATGACGGTGTTGGAAGCAACAAGAAAAATTACAATCACAAACATTAACATGGGCAGTAAAACATGTCAAGATTTCCATAAGCTAGTAAATATAACAGGTAACTGCAGTAAATACCACAATAGGTGCCGAGATAATGGCACTAAATACTACTCCCAATGGAGTGTTAGTTGGATTGGCCCATGCCTTAGGTGTGCTCCCAAGTGGTCTAGGGTTCAAACCCCCATAGTACCCGTGTGTGTGAGTTTTCCCCCTTCCTTTCCTAAATTTGGCAATTAAAAAAAATAAATAAATACTCCCACTTTTACCTCTGTAAATGTTTCAAAAATAAAGAGTGAAGTCATAGCATTCATGTTATAGAAAAAGGAAAATCAAGAAATTATTGTATTCAAAATTGTTCAGCATGACACAACATTGAGTCATTTAGCAAGTAATCATAGTTCTTTTCTCAATATAATGTTAAGAGTAAAACTTGCTGAATCTAAACCATATATATAAGCCATTACAAGCAAATTAAACAAATTAAAGATTGTTAATATTAAACCAGACCAAAAATATACATGTATGTGCATGTGTGTGTTTTTGCATCTGTTCTCAAGGTCATAGGCAAGATGAAACAGCATGAATATAACTTCTTGTGTATTAAATTTTCCATTAGCAGAAAATAAGATGACAAGTTTCATCTCAAGTAGGACAGACCTGTGTTCCTGAAGCATTCCCTCAAACTCCTTTTGTGATGCTTTAATCTATACAAAACAAATGAATTGGCATGAACACAAACAGCAATACATCACAACAGAGATTCATACATCAAATTATAGGGACATTATAGAACAAAATGGCAACACATCATACAGTTAATATGCCTTACCTCAGAAACCAACGGATTGCAGCTCCAGATGAAAGCTCCCTGAAAAATAACAGTATTATGAGTCCATAACAGGTTGCTAAGGTCATGAATCAGCGAATGTTGAAGTACATCAGCCATGTGAACATACAAGATACCTAAATCTTGTTTTTCAAATTGTTAAGGAATAAAATAGCAACATCCTACAATATGGAAACAAGTTTGCTTTTTCTTTCCAGTCTTGCTTGGCTTTGAAGCCAAGACACACACAACCTTCGTATTCACAAGAAGACCAATGCCACTAGCTCACAGAGCTTTAAATTTTGCAAGTTTGGGGAATTTAAATACTAATTTTTGCAAGAGCGCTCCAGTGAATCGTCGAGCAATATTACTAGTAGTATAAAACATGCAAAAATAAAAGGAATTAGTAAAGCACAACTTAACCCAACTTAAACTCAAGGTTATGGCTGCAAAAAGTATGCTGCAGAAGCAAAAAAATTTGTGGCAGCCAGAAATGGGACATGTACTACAGGAAATACAAATATATTATACTCTTGGACTTTATTCATCAAAATTGGAACTCCTTGATTATTTTAACAGTTTAACAAAGATAACAGCCCAAATTTATTTAAAAGATTCAGCAGAAAAATCTCATTTACATCGGAATTATGAGAACACATACTGCTCCATGTGCTGCATGCTGCTGAATATGATCAGAAGTCACAACCCGAACTTTAGGGCATCTATCCTCCCTTAAGGCTACAACCTGTTATACATAGAAAAATCACAAGTTACAGATCAAGAAAAATAAATTACACATAAAACAGATCAGAGAAACAAATATCAAAGGAAAATAGAAAATTGTAATGCAAAGCTAACCAGTTTCAGGCCTAGAACGGTGCACAAATGCAGTTGTGTACTAGAACTGAGGTTCAGGAGATCAAATTATTTCAAACTTCTGTACTGCATACATGATGCAACTCTTTGTGCACCAGTCACCAAGTGATGTTTAAGAAATATGAGACCCTTAGATTAAAAGAGACATTAGGGCCCCACCAACAGAACAAGTAATTTACAGCTTCTCACCTGCCTGGTGAGGAGGTTCAGGTGACTGATGCCATACACAGGATGAACCCTTTTGTGCAAAAACAAAAAAGCCTTCGCCCTAAACTTTTTTACACCATACGTAAAACCCATACCCTTATATTTTTTCCAGCAAGTCCTCCAATATATATAATGTATTTCTGCTATGGTCTGACTCCAAGAAAAAAGTTCTAGAGAATGATAAGTTTATACTTGGACAAAAACAAACAGAGTTTATTTTATTATTCATTAAGAGAAGTGATTTTTGTGACCAAAAGGAACTAGTATGACCCCATCATGTACTCCTTACACCGTCACTGGTTCTAGTTACAACATTTCATAGAGAACAATCTCTAACCTTTTCTATAACAATCCTGTCTGAAATGTAACCTTCATTGCAATGAAGAAGAACTCTTAATAGCCATACATGGACATCCCATTTCCATGAGTGGATATAAATTTACAGATTTCCAGTAACCTCAAAAAAAATAAAAAATAAAAAAAAATAAAAATAAAAAGAGAGAGAAAACAAGGTAATGGTAGCAGTGGGTTTAGGTCTCTGGAGCAAATTTGCTTGAATACCATGTTGAAAAGGAACTTGAGAAAGGGATAAGAAGAACATCGTATTGCATATCCAAATGAAAGGAGTACACATAATTTATACAGAAATCCAGGACATAAAATGCTCTGTTAATCAACTCTACAACAAGACCTAAATTTAAGCAAACAGCCTTAGGCTAAAGCCTAATAATCAGCCATTAAGCTAAATGTCTAATAACTGAAAGGAAAATTTTGCGTTGTTTTCCTTCATTTTGTTTTCTTTACCACTCTCATCTATGAACCAAACAAAAGAAAATTATGGAATATAGAACATTCTTTTCTTTTGCATTCGACGTGGATTTTTACCACCAAGATTTGTATTAAGAACAAATCTGGACTCCTGCAGCCATCCTGTAATTGACGTGTTTAACATACTTAGAAACCCCAATTTTCCAAAATTTTTATATCCACCAAACCCTAAACTTTTTTCTTAATCTGACATTGTTGCTTCTGGAACAAGCAAGTTACTGTTCTTGGGGGTACTGCTCATAGCCACAAAACAGCATCCCTGACTTGGTTTCCTCTTTTTCCCTTCAACTCCTGACCCTTTCCCCTTTATCTTCACCATAAATCCTTCACTCTAAATCTTCTACCCCAAAAGCCTTGCTGCCATAAACAGCTTGCGCTAAAAGACATAGCTTTTCAAGTAACTCTTATTATATGCAGTGATCTATGTCAGATTTGGTATTAGGGCCTAGTAGCCTACTACATCTCACCATCCTACATCACAATTTTTACTTCGAGCTCAATAAAATATAGGATGTCCTATTTCAAATATATAAATAAATAAATAAAGCATGGGATTTTGTGTTACCAACGAAATAAGAACCGCAGACCCAAATCAGGAAAACAAACAAGTTTTATTTCACTTTTCAAGTGACTGCACAATTCTAAAGTTGGTTTCAGCTTCAAGTCACTCCTCACCTCTTTCTCAATCCATGCATCAGCACAAGATTCACTTGAGGAAACTACATCAACTCTGCAACATCATGAATTCTTTGGATTACAGTTCCTTATACGAAGTTAGTTAGTACCAAGGTGATTTAATCAAGCATATAAATTACCAGCTGAGTGTAATTTTTTTTCTTTCATTAATTTAAAATTTGAAATTTCAAGAAGACAAACTTGCCATTCAGGATGACCATGATGAATATCAGAGCAACAGAGTTCTAATATGTCATTTTCCCACCAAAGAAATAAATATAAGGGATAAAAGTTTATGGAGAATCTGGAAAATGAAAACCACTTCATCAATCAACTAAAGTTACAGAAGAAAAAGGTTATTAAATCATCTTTATGATGTCTAACGAGGCAACATGCAAAGTTTGTTGTGATCGTATAGTCCGGAAACCTCTAAACCCTAAAGTCATATTCAATCCTGGATTGCTTTCTCCATTGCACACCGATTTACTTTGATGGATTTCAATTGGTAAGTATAAAATAAACTTAGGAAACTATAAAAGGCACCTATGGGAACTTAACAGAGACAGCAAAACTAAATGACATAGAACATAAGATATCAGACTACTCAGTTAGTTATAAATATAACATCCAGAAGTTTGGTTTGCACTGCTATTTTTTGCGCTGACGCTCCACATCGGAAGTAAATGGAAATTACAAAATGCATAAACATTGAGTAAAAAAACTTAAAAGCAGAGTATCAAACCCCATTCCCACCTAAAATTGTTCAACAGTCTTGTTCCTATTGTATTTCTCAAGCCACATAACTACTACTGGAAGAGTGGGAGAAAGAAATAAAATAAAAATTAGAAAGAAAACAAAAACTTAAAAAGATGATTTGTTAAACAGATCGCATATGATGCAAAGCTCTTTTGCAAAGACATGTCAAGAAAAAAGATATTTTCATTACAAAACACACTCACTAACACCACAATTTCTTATAGTCTATGGAATGTAGTCAACAAAGACAACAAAACACACCTCACCTTATTCTTCTTCTTTTCATCCTTTGTTTCTTAAAGAAATCATTTCAGTTCTTTTCAGTCTAAAGAGCCAACTGCACATACGTGACCAAGCTAATATTTTCAGTTCTCAGTCCATGACCAACGGCAACTGCACACACAACCTAATCCACCAGCTCCATTCCCAGCACAGAGTCACCACACATCCCTTCAACTCTTCAAAGGCCTTTCTAAAACTCAGCGTCTTCTTGAAAGAGAACTATTGTGCATGTCAAGCAACCTTTCAAGGGATACAAGAGACCAGCTTTCCTCTGTTTGGGCATATACCTTTTGATTTAGAGAGTCGACTATTATGCTTACATTACCAAAGCCATATATCTGGTGACCATTATGCATCCGCCCAGGTTTAGGCCTAAATAACAGACCATGCTGCTGCGCATGGGCTTCAATAACATCTTTCAAGCTCATCTCATTACCACTGCTATCCATGTGAGCAGTGCCACCCAAGTTTGCTTGTGCTGCTGCTGCTTTCTGTTGTGCCTCAAATTGCCTTTGCTCAAGCACCCTAAGGTAGCTAATATTCTCTTTCAAACCAGGTTGGACCACCTCCATACCCTCAACAGCCCGATTCATCATGTCAAGACCACAATTAAGCTGATATCGGATACTTTCATTTGCATGAAGCTCCTCAGGAATAAGTTCCTTCCAACCTTTATACCAATTCAAAACCTCTTCAAAGTTCGGGTTCGAACATAACCAGTGATACAAAACCTGTAGCCACTTGGTGAAGAAAAACTTCTCCATCATATCTACCATTAGATGAATTGGAATAGCAGAAGCCCAACTCATCACCCAATTAAACTGATCAAGTCTTTGATCTGCAGGGTTCACTTGGAAGTCTTGTAGGACAAGCTGCAACTTGGGCACTATAAATCTATGCATGAGTTGTTCCCAACTGGCTGAATCAAACACCTTCTTCCACGGCGAGAGTATGGTATAGGCAGAGGCATCACTGGGGTGCCATGCACCGAGAACATTACTCAACTTGAAGCGTATTGTGTGATACAACTCCTCCAACTTGTGTCCCAAGAGTGGTAGCCATGGATGCACCCACACATGGATGGGAACAGTGTCCCGGTGAGGTTCCCACAAGTCAACTGCGTCCTTCAGTTTGGGAAAGACTACCATATCCAATATGGCATGAAGGACAGAAGAGGGTAGCAATTTCTCCCAAGACTCCAAAAAGCGAAGCATGGGTTCAGGGTCCTTGGCCTGCCAGGTATTGACGCCAGCAATCCTCACTGCGGGTACCACAACCTCGGAAACCAACTGAGTATAAGGCGGCATTGTATTATCCCAAATATCAAGGTACTGTTCTCTCTCCCCCTCTCCATGAAGCAAACCCTTCCATGAGGATACCACATTCAACCCATGGGACGGGTTCCTAAGAGGATCCCAACCTTGAAACATCCTGATAAACAGAGGTAGAGCAAAAGAACAGGCAATACAAGACAAGTTACATATTTCATAGTCTTCAGCGTATCTCTTCTGTAGGTCACCAAAGTCCTTTGCCAGGGAGTCCAGCGTCAATGTTCCCATGATATTCTCTTCTCCCAGTCGGTCTAACACGCTCATAATATACCCCAAGCTATCCAAGTGTTGCTTCTGTCTGGCCGCCTCTGTTGCCAGCCTCTCTTTCTCCTGGTTCAAGCTGATTGCCGTGTCCCTCTCATTCCTCAGATCCCTATCAATCTTCTGAATATCCAGCTCAGCTAAGTCCAGAATCAACCTCAGGTTGTGCTGTAGCTCAGGCATGGGAATATCCTCTTCCCTGGCTTTCTCTTCGGCATTCAAATTCTCCAAATTGGTCAAGACTCGAACCTGGGGTCCGCGCATATCAACCACCTTGTGCACAAAGACCTCGGTACTCTCTTCCTGCTTCTTGGCTAACAACTCCTTGGCAGAGACATAGTGGTCCTTATTAGCCCTGTTGGCAACAGCCTTTTTCCAGGAAATGCTCTTTTTGGTGGTGGTGGAGGAATTGACAGCGGGCAAAGGCTTGCTCAGCTTTTCAGCTTCCAATTCTTGCAAGCCAGGCCTCTTGATTTTAGTCTCCTCGTAATCATTAAAACCCATACCCATATTTTTTGGCCTCAACTTGGCTTCAATAGGAGCGAGAATCCCTTGCTGGTTTTTGCCAAGTCCACCTCCTTTGTAGCCCATGTTCTTAAGCATCTTCATCCCAATGCCCTTGGTGTGTTTCTCAAAGGCCCCCAGGTCCCCATCCCCGCCGCCCCCCCTTGCTCCTCCTAGTCCAAACTGAGATTCTTCAGAATCTCTTCGACTTCGAGATTGGATAGTAGTTTGCTTCAGCAACTTGAGCTTTTCCCTCTCCTTCTGTCTCCTCTCTGCTCCCTCCTTTATTTTCTTCCCAAACGCCGTCGGCAGAAAATTGCTGTCATTTTCCTCATCCTCCTCCTCTCCACCGGTGGGATCCGAATTCGAATTAAAACCTAAACCGGAATTCAAATTATTAAAACCCAAACCTGAAGCCGTAGCGGCACCAAAGCCAAGGCCACTGGTGGCAACGCCGGTAGCGCCGAGTTCATCGTTTTGCTGCTTTGAATTGTTGTCCATCTCCTGGTTGGGCATGACGATGCCGGTGGAGACGAAATTGACGGGCTTGGTAAGGTCGACGACCTTTCGATCTTTCCTGCGTTTTCTGGAGCCCTCGTTGTCTTCATCATCGTCGTCGGAATCGGCAGAGAATATGCCGTAGAGTACATCGTCTTTGGTCTGGACGCGCTTATCCTTGCGCTTGCGATAATAGAACTCGCCGCCGATCCATTGGCCGTCCTCGTAATCCTTCTCCATGCCAAACCTTTCCATCTCTTGATAATCATCCATCACGAAAAACAAGCCTCAAGGCAAAATTAGATGACCGAAACCCTAACAAAACCTAAGGCAAGTCTAGAACAAGGGGCGAGGGAGTGGAGAGGTCGTGGCGGGCTGGGCTTGGGAGAAGAGAGAGGAAGAGAGAGAGGAAGAGAAGTGGGGTGTCTTGAGAAGTTTACCAATGATAGAAGTATGGTTTTGATTTTTGGGTAGTGCTCGGGAGATTAACAAAGGGTTTAATGGGGATTATGTCTGCCTTCAGATTCAGAAACGAGTTCAATTCTTCCATATCCATAAAAAAATAAAAGTACGGTGAAACGTTCAAAATAAAAAATGCTCTTGGTTAATTCAAACATTAAAAATTATAATTATTAATTAAATAATTATAATATAATAAATTCACATATATTTTTTTATATAAAAACGAATTAAAATTTAAAACAAAATAAGATAATATGTCTTATTTTTATAAAACACAATTACCCATTATCTTTTTTAATTCTAAAATAAAAAATAAAAAACCAATTGGCACGTGTGTGTGCGTGTGTCAAGGGGCTAGGTTTACTTATGGCTTTGGTTTGTGTTTTCTTTTTTCTTTGTCACTAATTTTGCATTCAATTATTATTTTTTTTAGTTTTTCTATTTAAACCCCGCATTTCTCTTTGTTCACCCCATATTCTAAGTTTATCTCAACTTTTAATTGAAATTTTCATAATTTCTAAGAAAACTCTACTATCTTCATAAACTACCCTTAAATACACACCCAGTAGAAAAAAAAATTTGTTGCCCTTCAACCTCACATTAGTTAAAGAGATAAAAACATTGTTGTCAAATGTGTAGCAGCATTATTTTATTATTATTATTATTTATTTTGTTAAAATTTTGAGAATGAACTAGGAGGTTTTGATAGAGAAATGTTTACAGTTGAATTGATATGGGAGGGGTGCTGGGTTTTGCTAGGGTTCAAAACACTTTCCTCAATTGTTATATAAAATAAAATCAACCAAATTTGTTTTGTATATTCAATCTTTTTTTTTTTAGGGTGAATGTAACTTGAATTTGATCAATTGGGGATGGAGAAGTAGTGGATGATGAGAGTTGTGGATGGTTCGAAGTGAAAAAGGTGTAATTTTACTCTTCTCAATTGCCCCAATTTCTTCCATTGCCAATATTAACATCCAGTATGCAAAGAAAAGTTTAGGTTGTGGCTTTGGTGTTTTCTTTTTGAGAGCATAGAAACACTTGAAGTTGCTACCTCCTAAAACCCCTTTGCTCTCTCTCTCTCTCTCTGAAAAACCAATCAAGTCTTAGAGTGGCACACACAGCAATGGCAAGCTCACTAGAAGAGACCAAGCTCAAGAGGTTCCTCCAGTGGTTACAGGTGCCCATATGTTTGTGCTTTTTTGAAACTTAACATAAAGAGTGGTGGGAATGTGTGTATAGATGTACAAGGGTTAAATATTAAGTTGGATGACCTTTTTTGTCTTTTTACACAATAATAAAACTTAAAAGCTTAATGATTTAAGTACTGAAGTGAACAAAGAAAAGTGGCTAATGATTTAAAAGTTCAAGAGCTTAATGATTTAAGTACTAGGATGACCTTTTAACAAATAAATTAGGAAATGGCTAATGACATTATACCCTGCTCTAGGTTTAGTGGAATTATCAAAATGGGCCACTTGGTTTCAATTTCATTAGTTTACATCTCAACGTTTTCAATCAGTGTATATATTCGGTTATAAAAAAAAATTAAAAACTCCATAGGCGTCTCTAGTTTCTATTAAAATATGAATATGATTTTAATACTTTAGGTTAATTGTATTCTTCTCCATCAGAATGTATATATAGGAGTTTACTATGGTGTTTTATAAGGAAATAGATACAGTAATTAATTAGGAAATATCTCATAATTATACAAGGATGTGTCGACTATATAAAATAAGGAAGTAAATCACCTAATTAACTTAGAAAATAAATATCCTTGATTTAGTAGGTTAACTCATGTCAACACTCCTCCTTAAGTTAGTGCATATACTTTATTAATGCCCAACTTGGTAAGTGAGTCATAAAACACTCGTCCACAGACAGCTTTTGTCAAGACACCACTAAATGATCTTCTAATTTTATAAAGGGTAGATAGATGATCTTATTCTCAATTTTTTCTTTGATGACATGTCTATCCACCTCAACATGTTTAGTTCGATCATGTTGAACTGGACTATGAGCAATATCGATAACTGACTTGTTATCACAATGTAACTCTATCGGCTTCCCTGGTTTAAAACCCAATTATATAAAGAGTCCTCTGATCCACAATAATTCACAAACTCCTTGAGCCATTCCTCGATACTTTGCTTTTGCACTAGATTGAGAAACCACATTTTGTTTTTTACTCCGCCAAGTGACTAGGTTACCTCCAACAAATGTAAAGTAACATGATGTAGAGCATATATTTGTAATGGAACCAGCCCAATCATTATCTGTATATTCAACAACTTCAAGATTTCCATTATTTAAGAACATTAATCCCTTTTTAGGGGTTGACTTTAAGTATCTTAAGATTTGATCAACTGCATTCTTATGAGAAACACTGGGTGAATGCATAAACTGACTAACCACACTTACAACATATGCAATATATGGTCTTTTGTGCGCCAAATATATCAACCTTCCAACAAGGTGTTGTATTGTTCCTTATTGATTAGCAATCGATCCATGTCTTCATACAACTTGTGATTCGTCTCAATAGGTGTGTCAGCAAGCTTACATCCAAGCATTCCTATTTTAGTGAGTTGATCCATCACATACTTCCTTTAAGACAGAAATATACTAGTTTTTGACCTTGCTACTTCAATTCCAAGGAAGTATTTCAGAGCACCTAAATCTTTCATCTCAAATTCCTGAGACAAATACTTTTGTAGCTTCTGTTGCTCTCCCGCGTTGTTCCCAGGTACGGCCATGTCATCCACATAGATGATTAATGTAGTGATTTTTCCTCCATCACGCTTCAAGGAAAGGGTGTGGTCTAAATTACTTTGAGCGTATCCAAAATTCTTCATGACCTAAGAGATTGTTTTAACCCATATAATGACCTTCTTAGCTTGCAAACTTGATTCTTCTTGTTATAAGGTAAATTACATCCTAGTGGTAAATCCATGTATACCTCTTCTTCCAAGTTTCCATGTAAGAAGACATTTTTAACATTGAACTGATGTAGTTGTCAATCTAGATTTGCTGTTAGGGACAGTAGGACTTTGATGGTGTTGATCTTGGCTACTTAGGCAAAGGTCTTCTGATAGTCCACCCCATACATCTGTGTATACCCCTTTACCACCAATTTAGCTTTATATCTTTCAATGGATCCATCTGCTTTGAGTTTTACAGTATAGATTCACTTACATCCGAATGTCTTCTTTCTATGAGGTAAAGACACGAGCTCTAATGTGGCATTCTTTTGGACAGCTCTCATTTCTTCATTCATGGGTTCTTTCCATTTTGAGTTTTCTAGTGCTTCATTCACACTATTTGGGACAGATATATTGGCTAACTATTTCACAGAGTGTACATGTGACTCTCCTAATCTACTTAGAGATATATAATTATTAATGGGGTATTTTCCTTGGCATTAAGATCTGCTTCGTATTGTACTTAAGGTTTACCATAGTTCTTCCCTTCTTGAAGCTGATATATAGGGGTATCTATATCATTTATGCTTTTTGAAATCAAATCATCATGGTATATTTAATTAGTGTTATTAGTTTCAGGGGGAGATGTTACCTGAATGACTTCCTCAGAAGGTGATTGGTGTGGTACTAGAGCTGAAGGCACGTCCGGAGCAAGCAAAATCTCAAAAAACAGTTAAATTTCCTCCTCATGGTTTTGGCAGCGTAGTGTCGACTAGTCGTTTTCTACCGGCGACATAGGCTCAATGTTCGGCAAAAAGGGACAAAGCGACTTGTCGTTTTACCATAGTGGTTCCACCTGTGAAGGAATAAAGGGGAGTGACTGGTCGTGGGGGAGAGGCGAATAGCCGCTTTAAGGTAGAGACGCCTCATGTGGATGGATAAAGGGAGGCGACTAGTCGCTTTGATCCTAAATCTCTTCCATTGTTAAAAATTGCAGAAAAGTCATGGTGTTAGGCTTAGATTCTCCTCATGTGCTTCTGAAAAATATATGTCGTGTTCCCGGAGTACTACATCCATTGAGGGTGATAACATCAGTAGCCTTTCTGATGAGGGGAATAGCTAATGAAAACATATTTTTCTGCTCAGGGATCCAATTTGTTGTGTTGGTGATCATGTAAGTGTACAAATACAACACAGTTGAAAATTTGTGGTTCAAGGTTTGGGGTAGGAGGTATTTAGATATGGCGGTGAAGTGTTTGAAAATTCAAGGTACTTGAGGGAATCCTATTTATAAGGTAAGCTGTAGAGAGAACAGCCTAGCCCTAAAAAGATCGAGGCATGTTGGCACCAAATAAAGATGCACGAATGAATTCCAATAAATGTCAAATCTTTCACTCAGCCACCTCATTTTGTTAAGGAGTATATGAACACGAGCATTGATGTATGATGTCATGATCCTATAAGAATTTTTTGAGATCATGATTAAGAAATTATCGGCCATTGTCAGAATGGAGAACCTGTATTTGGGCATGAAACTGAGTTGCCACCATTTTATGGAACTGTTGAAATGTCAAACCGACTTCCCCTTTGGTTTTGAGAAGGGAAACCCAGGTCATTCGGGTGTAGTCATCAATGAAAGTGACAAACCATTGAGCTCCAACTGGAGTAGTGATTTGAGTAGGCCCCCAAACATCAGAATGAATAAGGGAGAAAAGAACCAAACTTTTATTTGTACTTAATGGGAACGCAACACGATGACTCTTAGCCAATTCACATGTATCACATTGGAAGTTGGAAACCTCAAAATTGGAAAATAATGATGGGAACAACTTCTTCAGATAACCGAACGAGGCATGCCCAGAAGATGTTTATTCCATAACCAAATTTGTCTATCTGCCTCTCTGAACTAGCTCCACTTGTTGTGAAAGCTTGACCAAACCTAGTCTCACTATTTGATTCCTAGTCCAAGTAGTAGAGTTTGTCTTGCCTAATACCACAACCAATTGTCTTCCCCATGAAGATGTCTTGAAAAACACAATGATTCGGCCAAAATGTTATAATACACCCTAAAGTAGTAGTAAGTTGTGCAACATACAACAAGTTATGGTCCAAGGATGAAACAAGCAATACATAATCTAGATGTATGGAGTTAGAGAGAGATAGAGAGCTCTCCCCAACCACAGAGGAGGACGTACCATTAGCATTGGACACCACCAATTGAGTGGTTGGTGTGCAGCTAATAACTTGATTAAGATCAAATGTCATGTGATCTGTTTAGGGTTTAGGGTTTAGGGTTGCCTAATACCACAACCAATTGTCTTCCCCATGAAGATGTCTTGAAAAACACAATGATTCGCCCAAAATGTTATAATACACCCTAAACCCTAAACCCTAGAAATGTGGTTCCTGATTGTGTTGCTTAATGGAGCTAAAATATGGACCTAGGTGTTTCTTTTCTTGATATGGCTCCGAGTTTGATTTGCTCTAGTCTTGTTGATGATATGCTAGGAGTCACTAGGACTCGGTTGGTATGTAGTGAGTAGTTGCTTTGTAGGAGGAAGAGGACTGTAGCCAATGTCGGCAGTGCCTAGCCCATTGCTACCGCCCCTCCCCATTTTCCTTCATCTATGTTTCTATTCGCTTTCCATCTCTCCCTCTCTCTCTTGCACCAAGAATCACTTTATTTTATAGTTGGATTTTATCTTCACTTTCCAAAGGGCGCAAAAGCTTATTCTGTATACCTAGAGTTTCTTGGGTTTTTTTGTTGTTGTTAAGTGTGCCTTTTTTGCATAGTTAAATTAGTGATTATTCCCGTACATATTTCTAAAAGCATTTCGGCACTTGGGCAACTTAGAAATTGCGTACGGAGTTTCTTGAATCTTCCCTTATTGAATTCATGTGGGATTGAGAGCAAAATTGGATAAAGTGAACTTGAAACGGTAGGTTTTCAGGGATATGAAGGCAACTTAAATGAGGAAATTGAAGGTGGAGAGAGGAATAGAAGCAGAGAATGGGCGGCGGAAGGGGGCTACGATCGAGGTGGGAGGCTGTCGCATGGGCTTGTTTGTTTTATTTTTTATTATTATTAATTTTATTATCAAGGGTAAAATTGGAGACCAAAGTCCAGTTGTACAAACAATTAATTTTTTTTTTTAAAAACACATGGAAAATTCTAAATGAGTGTATCACGAGCTGACGTGGTGATACCGTACTACTCTATAATTTCTCCTCCACGCATCCACACCTACCTCTGAGCACCTCCCTACCCTCTACTCCCCAATTTCCCCTTTCAGACACACCTCCTTATTGCCCAATTTTCGATTTAACCCAATGGATCACAACCCAACAACCATCTCACCAAGTGCCGATTTATCCTATCCATTGTCACCAATGTCACACCCAAGTTCCAAAACATGGACTTTCGCTTGATTCCTCATCCCCAAGACTACTAATAGTTTAGCTAACAATAGGGGTAGTTTGTAGAGTTTCCAGAATCTTATGTATGAATTTATAAATAGTCAACAAATGATGTATGAACTTGAAGAATGTCTAATAGTTTGGAGGTTTTATGTAGTTAACTCATTTTGTTAGTTAAGAGAAAGGGCGTGGGGGAGTTAGTTTTTTTTTTTTTTTTTTTTTTTTTTTTTTTTTCTTCCTTTCCTTTCCATTTTTTTATTTTTTTATTTATTTTAAAATTAAATAAATATTTTATATATTTATTGTATTATTTTTTAATAATGGATGGCTCTCTTTATTGCCACACCATGAGTTAATAGACTTTTTAATGGTAGAGTCACGATGCTGATGAAACTGTAGTAAAATCAAAGTTTGTTACATACACGTGTTTCGTAAATGGATATGAAATTGCATTCACGTGTTTCGTAAATGCATCATTGGAAATGCAATACCTAACTCATGGGTATGAACTTATGTACGGGAAATTTCTTACTCTCAGTTCACTTTGACTTTTAAAAAACTTGTCATATTAATATTAATAGCAAAAAAGTAGGGGAATTGTTGGAAAACTGAACAACTTTTCATTATTGTACAAAGTACAAATAGAATATAGGAATGAAAGAAAATGACATTTCTTAGTGTTCCCAAATATGGGAATGAGGTGGACAGCCACATCAATTAAAATTATTTAATATTTTCTTTTCTTTTCTGATTTATTAACACTTAAAAAAAAACTGTTAACTAAACTTTCTTTATTAAAATACATTTCATTGATTTAATTGATGTGGCATATGATATGGACATACCACATAATATAGTGGGATAAAAATGTGGTAAGTGTAGCATTACTCAACTCGATAATGTCCCCGAGATAGTAAAATGAAATTTAAGCAAAAATTAGTAAAATGAAATTTAAGCAAAAAAGAAAAGGAAAAATAATATTAGAATGGGAGGTTGGGGGGGGTTGGGGAGAGGTGCGAACTGACAAAGAGGGGCAGAGTGAAACAGAAGGGGATCGAGAGAGAGAGAGGAAGACAATAAGCGAGGGACAGAGAGTAGACAGAAAGAAAGAGGAGGCTCACAGATTGGAGGTCGATTTGAGGCGGAATAAATCTTTGTGGGTTCTCTGTTTGGGGTGCCAATCTAAAGTTAAAGGCCTCTGATTTATAGGGGGTGGTGTTCTGAAACGTTGATGGAGTAATTGAAACTGGGTGTCACATGCTTCATGGTGGTGAAAAGGAGCTGCGTTGAAAGTTGGAGCAAAACCCAGTTCTTATTTTCATGATCTAGCTATTTTTTTATTTATAAACAACTAGAAGTTCTTAAGTTCTACGTTTACAAGGATACAACTTGAAGATTTTAATACGAGATCTGTCGGTGGAACTAGGTTTTGGTTCTTGAGCACCTTAGCGGGGCTTTCTTTTGGGCCCCTTGGGACATGTTTAGAAATGGGTTTTATGATTCCGGCTTTGATCTTGGCTTGGTCTTGAATCAAAATGGATTTTAGATTGAAACTGAGGGTGCCCATTTCGAGAAATTGTTGGTTTTTGTGTGTCTTTGATGGGACTTGATTTGTGGGTCTGGAATGTGCGAGGAGTTGGGCCTTTGATTTTGGTTGCATTTTGAGGTGATTTTGGTTTGAAAATTCTTGGAGAACAACATGTTCTGGAGGGACCGTGAGAGGGAGAACAAAGAGCAAAACGGTGGTGGACCGCCTTGTGGGCAGGTTCGAGTGCTTGTTGTTGGCGACTCAGGTAGTTGATTGTGACTGTATAATTCTCTTCCTATGTCTTCTTGTCTCCTTTCCTTTTACTATATATTTTTTTGTTTTTTGCAAATTTTAATTGATTTGTTCTGGATTGTGTTGTATGCTTGTATGTGCTTAATGATGTTCATAATTAGATATAGAATATGGATTTGGTTAGAACTTTGGATGCCAAATTGTTGTCAATATGAGTTTGGGTGCAGTTCTGATCAGAGTGGTTGCTGCCCTTTGGATTAGTTCAATTAAACATTTTAGGATTAAGAGGCACAACTGTGCTAGAGTGAAGAAACTTTGGTTTCGAGTGAGTGTCAAAGCAACATGAATACAGAAGCTCAAGTTACACATGAGCAGATTGCATTTAGTATCTTATATGTTGGTTGGAGAATTGTAGATTGGATGAGTTAAGAAAGAAGTGTAGATTGAAAAAGTTAAGAATGATATTGGTCTTATGTTGGAGACTGATCTTTTCATTTTAAGAAAGATCAATGCCTCCTGACATTTTGGAAATATGTTGGCCAGAAATGGACGAAACCTCTACCTGATTTGACCTTGAATCAGCATTGAATATTTGATGCTTACCCAATCATGGAGTGATTCTATATACGTTAGTTTCAAGTATCAATATCAATTGTTGACATGCTTGATTGTTAAAGTATATTATCTTAGCTTACTAGAAGGGTAGTGGCTTACATGTTTATGATAATGCTTTGCACAAAATAGTATTTGACAGGCGGAAATGCAACCCTCTGAATCTATAATTTGACATGCATACGTCTGCACATGTAATTTTATAATGCATGCCGGAAGGATGTTCTTTATCCAATCTATGCCTTATTGTCCATTACATCTCATAATTTCGGGTGTAAGTATCAAACTTCATCTTTGGATTTTGATCAATTGGTAGGTGTTGGAAAAAGTTCTCTTGTTCATCTGATTGTCAACAGTTCTTCCATCGCTCGTCCTCCTCAGACAGTAGGGTGTACAGTTGGTGTAAAGGTAAGAAGAATTATTACTTTGATTCTGATGGGATATTGAGAAGTATTACTGAAGTTCAAGTCTCCAATAAGCGTTTACCATTTTTCTATCCAGCATACTACTTATGGAAACTCTGGTAGCTCGTCAAGCAGCATTAAAGGTGACGCTGAGAGAGATTTCTTTATTGAACTCTGGGATGTGTCTGGACATGATAGATACAAAGAATGCCGGTCTCTTTTTTATTCCCAAATTAATGGCAAGTTTGGGACCTCTCTCCTTTTATAAACATTTTATTCTCCTTGTAACTAGTATGCATGTTAAATATAAATAAGAGAAAAGGCCGTGAAGTAAACAAACTTTTGAGGACAAATTAATTGACTATTTATCTTTAAGTTAGAAACCAGCAGCCTTGCTTAGGCTTGTAAGTGCAGGCATTTATCATTTTTTTGTCTCGTGATGCATCCATCTTCGATTCATTAATGATGCAAATTTACATGAGTGGTGTTGACAAAATGTTTGTGGTAAGTCATGGTGGTATATAGTGATGGTCAATGTGATTGTACTCAACTTATCTAACGGTATTCAGACATTTATTTTTGTGTTTTGTTTCCTATCAAAAGAAATGGAACCAACATTTTGCAACCAGACTTGGATGTTTCAACTCAAGATATGCATAAATTTCATCTGCAGGTGTAATCTTTGTTCATGATCTCTCCCAAAGAAGGACAAAAACTGGCTTACAGAGGTGGGCAGCTGAGATTTCTGCGACTGGGACATTTTCAGCTCCTCTAGGATCTGGAGGTCCCGGTGGCCTTCCTGTCCCCTATATTGTTATAGGTAACAAAGCTGATATTGCTGCAAAAGAGGGTGCAAGGGGAAGCAGTGGCAATCTTGTTGACGTAGCTCGACAGTGGGTTGAGAAACAAGGTTTGCTTCCATCCAGTGAGGAACTTCCACTGACTGAGAGTTTTCCTAGTGCTGGAGGCCTTATTGCGGTAAGCAACGTGTTTTTTCATTTCTTTTTGTTTTCCTCCCCACTTTTTCTCCTTGTTTATTGCCACTGTTCACATTATCACTGATGAAAATGAAATTAGTATCCAATGAATGTGGTTGTGATTGCATTAGACGTGTTCAAAGGCAACTGAACTCATTTTTCTGTCCATATTTATTCTGATCTTTTGAGGCCATATCTAGAGCATGTTTTGGTGAACACAGTGTTCTGCTTGGTTTACTTGACCAAGGTGCACTTTAAAATGTTTTTTTAAAAGGAGTACTGTGTTCAATTTTAATGTTTTAGTTTTAGTTTTATTTTTATTTTTACGGAAACAAAGATTTCATTAAGTAATCATGCAAAGAGTTACAATCCAAATAGCAGTCTATCTGAACAAGAGAGGTCCATGCACACAAATCTGAGAAATTGAAGGCTAAAAAGTCAGCTAACAGCAGCTTTCCAATTAGAATGAAAATAGAAAAAGGAATATCCTTGAATTCAGCAGCTAATAAAGCATCACTCTGTCCCATAAAGATGTTACCTCCTTCCGTAGCTTTCTTCGAATATTCTAGCCTTCCTTTACAGCCAACGACCCAAAGGATAGCCAAGACACAACACTTCAACATAGTTTTTGCCTTCCTCCCCAAAAGAAAAATGTTTTTGAACTTCTCAACCAATTATGATTTATAAGAGGCCAGGATCACCGAACTCAACCTTGCCTCCCCCAAAGAGATTATACCACAATCTGAAGTGAAATTGGGCAATGGAGAAATAGGTCATCATCCATATTTTCCTCCCCACCTTTGCACAGAATACACGAATAGGGTGAGATGCACAATTTGGGCCTCCTTCATTGAATAACATCACAGGTTTGACCCTTCCATGAGCAATTATTAATCTTTACCTTCCAAGTTATTTGGACTCTGGAGGACGATTTGCCAGAAAATGTTTGGAGGACTCAAGTTGAGAATCTGTTTATCAACTCGCACTGGACGCAAGGAAATGTTTTCAATTAAAGACAAGAGAGAAGAAAACTCAGCAGTTTCTATTTCATTTAATTTCCTCTGCAAGTTGGGATTCCACCTCATATGATACAATGATGAAACTGACTTATTGTAATTAACGTATTATGAGAAGATGACAATCTATAAAGAGACCCACTAAAACAATCAAAAAGGCACTGGAAGGATACACATGAAGGATTTTCTCTCCACTCTGTCTTACCTGAGTCTTATCTCTCTCCATTCCCTATGACCCAGATAGATGCTACCGCTAGTTGGCTTGGATAGTTGGCAATTTTTTAATGCTAAGCTGCCATGCAACTTAGAATTAGTGAAAACCTACCTGTTTCGCATAGCATTAGAATTTGTTGTGAGGTTTTACATTCATATTCCAAAGGATTCTCTTCGCTATTAACTTACTTTCAAAGCTTGAAAGTAGCCATTTGAGGGAAATCACAAGATTGTGGCCATTGGCACGTGAATCATTGAAAAGACCCAAATCAATGTATACAGAAAATGTAAAAGATAATTTACCCCTTCTAATACACTGATCATGTAACATAAGGATACTCCAAGATCATGAATATGAGACTATGAATAAGTAACTTAAAATGCATGTGTGATGTCCATTTATTGCTACAAAAAGTATAAAGACTCAACCGTATTGTGCTTGGTACTTGTATGGCCTTATTTGTTACACATTGAATTTGGCTTCTACCTGCTATTTGTTTTGTGTGGTTCATTTGTATGTATGCATGGGGAAATGTTCTCTTCTAGGCTGTCTGATTATGTTGCCAGATTGTGAATCTGAATCATTGCTCAAGTTTGATATTTTTCTGAACATTTTTAAAAAATACATAATTTATGTTTTTTCTTGATTGGCTATCTATTTTAATAAAAGGCCTTGTAAGTGGAGAAATAATGCAATTCAGCCAAGGACTCTCTTTAAGTGCTTCTGAAGAATTTTGTCATTTTCAGAGAACACTAAAACAGTAATGAGTTTCTAAAATAATTTTTTTACAGAATTTCTGCTTTTTTTCTTCTTCTATAGATATTTTAATGTTTTAGCTAGCAGAGAGGGATATGTGATCTTTAGTAATTCACATATTGTTGTTAGTTGTTGTAACTTGTAACTATAACACTTAGTAGATGTTTATAATCACTCCTTTTATTTAATGAAGAAGAGAAGATGTGGGGTCACCTCTCTGGAGTTGATTGATGGTTTTATCTTTTCAAATTATGTTTTAAAACATTGGAACCAAAACTGTTAGGGCATTTTGTTAATATGAATTCCATTTACTCTAGATGCCTGAACTTCTCTGCCATTCTGGTCGTGCACATTGGGTGTTAACTGTATATCAGTAAAAAATTTCTCCACTGTAGTTTCTTCCTCACATTTCTCCTGTTTTTATCATTTTGGGTTCTTATTTTTCATTTGGTTTTAGTTTTGGTCCTCTGTAGTTAGAAGTAGTTTAATTCCTGGATGTAATAGGCTATACTTTTTTTTTGTAACTTTTGACTTTGATCAATAAAGTCATTGTTTTCTATCCAGCAAAAAGGTCAATTTCTATCAGGGAATATAATTGTCATATGTTCTATATATCTTGTGAGGGAATCGTTGGTAACATGGAATCGTTAATATATGATGGTCTGTTGAACATATACAGGCTGCCAAAGAAGCAAGATATGACAAGGAAGCTGTGATGAAATTTTTCCGTATGGTCTGTATTTGTGTTCTTGCTGTTAGCTTATTTCTTTTGTCGTATGAAAGATGTCCAACTCTTGTCTTGGTTGTTTCAGTTGATCAGAAGAAGATATTTTTCTGATGATGTACCTGCACAAAATCCATGGTCTGGTTCTGCAGTTCAAAAACCTGCACAGACTGTAGATGAAAATTGGAGTGACGAGGATCATTCCTACAGGAATTCCAGGTAGTTTCAGCCAGTTACATTCTTCTCTCCAACTTGTTATAGCTGTCAACATCATCTTTAAATAATTAATGGAGGGTATGCTAGCTCAGAAGTGAGATGGTTTTCCTGTAATAGAACGTAAACGGTGATTGATTATGTTTTGATCAAATGTGAAGTTTTGCATGACCCTGCCAGTTATGTGCCAGCACTTTATAATTCTTCATCATCACACTTCTTCTCCTCTCAATGTGCTGTCTTACTATGTTTGTTGTGATTTTTCTTACCAAGGTTTTTTTTTGCAGCTTGCGTGGTGACCCTTACAAGTACAACATGCTCCCTCCTCTTCCAGCGCAACGCAATCTGACCCCACCTCCCACGCTTTATCCTCAGCAACCAGTTTCGGTTTCAGAAAACTACAGCCTTCCTAGATTTTCCCATACTAGTTACCCAGAAATCAGCAGTACAGGCAGATCAAAGCGCTCAGATATTAATGTCTAATAGTCGTTGTCTCCAGTTAATGTGATTACTTTTGCATGAATGAATGCTCTGTATGCGGCCAAAGTTCTTCCCATTTTGTTTCATTTGCAACTGCTCCATTGATTCTTTACATCCACAGGTTTTCATTGTAAGTTTATGTTTGTCAAGTATATAATGATTGATTCATTGACCTGAAAACTACGAACAGGCAATTCTTTTCATCAAGCTCTCTTTGTTTGCAAATTTTTATCGAGTGATGTAGTGTTGAAGACATCAGTGTCATATTTTCTTTTCAAAATATTCACTTTGGATGCGATCAAATCTTAAGATCTTGTGACTGGATTAAGTGTAGTTAAAGCAACGTAACATACAACTGCCTGACACCTTTCCTCAATACCCCTCAAACATGCAACGTAATTCTTTGAAGTTACAAGTCTGTTGAATAGTCAATATAGATAAAATAAAAAGTCCAAGTTTCAATTTTTATGTGACTAGTTTGCCTGAATTTCCAATTGGTCCGGCATTTAATTTTGTGACCATGCAATTGTAGTTAACAATTAATTGCAATTCAAGGTCATATGATTCCCACGAAAGCAGCATGCGCTTGTCGTCACTAGTTATCAGTCTTTGTGATTGATCAAATGTCAATTTTACCCAACGTCCACTAAATAACATTACCCTAAATTTCCTTTTAAGAAACAAAACCCCAAACAAACATTACCCTATCGGTCATTCCGGAAATTTCGGAAGTCCCAAAATGCAACCATTTTGGCAGAAACATTCGATAAATATTGTTAAAAATGTAATAAAAACCATGAAATTGTTATGAAAATTTGGAAATTTCTAATGATACTTTGAGATAAGTATTATTTATTTAACCAACAATCTACATATATAACAAAAGAAATTGATAAAACTTAATTGCATGGACTTGTGAGACTAAGATTGCATGTAACGGAAGCTGACAAACTCTGTTACTAAAATTTTATTGCCAAATTTTTTAAGGTACAACTGTCAAATGTTCCAAATCCAAACAATTTGAGTGCCTTATATAACATGGTACAAATTGACATCTTCTATGGCCAGGAATTGATTTCTGAAGGATGACGCCAGTACATCATCCTATACTTTTGTACAGGACAAGCATCGGATAACATCCTTCTAAGATCCTATACTTCAGATCTTGATCTGAAACAAAACCTGATCAACTACTTTGATTCAGTTTCAGATAACTTCCTTCTGAGATCCTTGAGAGCATCTACAACTTCTGAATCAAGATTGTGCTTTAATAACCTCCCTTGAAAAGAAGTAGACCTGAGAAAAATAAACCAGAATTCATTAATAGTTGGAATCAAATTGATAAAAAGAAGTAGACCTGAGAAAGGTATATCATAATTTATTAATAGCAGCAATCAAATTGATATTTTCGCCCACCAGCAAACTCTGGCATAAAGATGCTCAAAACAAGGACCTCAAATGCTTTATTAATTTATATGATTTGTGGGACACTTTTTTGGACACCCGAGAACACGATCACTTCCTTGAATACTCAGAAAAGTTGCACCATTCGCTAAGAATGAAAATTTGAGAAAGCCGGCAGCATTTTTGGCAAGAAACTTACACATGGCTACTATTTTCGAAAATATTTTGGTAAGAATAGTTTTTTCATGACTAAAGATATCCTTGTGCAGATGACTCATAAATCAATTAAAAATGTACCAGCATATCTTTTGGAAGTTGACGTGACACACCTTGTGCCCAAACCAACACATGACACTCCTGTCATGTGTAAAAGGCATGAAACTTCGTCTAACAAGATCTGACTCCGATAACCACACTGAGTTTCTCATTGTGAGTAAATCATGGACCAATCCAAGAGTACCCCATTCAATGGCTAAAAGTGCTCATCCTTTAAGGACTGAGCTTAAGAGCAACACAGCTCTTAACAGTAAGTAGAACAGGCTGAGGTCCTATAAGATAGTGTCTTTGGATCTGGTGCTGAGAATGGTCACTTGATATACCTATTTTTATCCCAGACGTTGGTGGGAAAAGTGATGTAGAACAACCCGTAGCTCAGAGTAAACACTTGAGCAATAGAACAGAGAACAAATATGAGATCGAGAAGAAGAATTAGAGATCAAAGAGAAGAAGGGAAAGGGAAGGAATCAGAGAGTTTAAAGTAAGGAAATTTATCATTAATCAAGTCTGCCTTATAAGATTGCAAACTACAAACTGCTCTATTTATAGAGACAAAACCCTTTTAGTTTAGGAAAAGGAAGAGTAAACTTGAAGAAATAGGAAAACAAATTAACTAATAAGAGATCCTTCAACAACAAGGAATCCTTAACTGAATTAGAAAAACTAATAATAGGAAAACTAATCCAAATAGACTTAGGAAAACTATTCATATGCATTCTCCATCATTCTCCCCCACCAAAAAGAACTCGACACCGGCGAGTAAACCAAGATTAAGGACGACGACGACGACGTTGGTAAGTATGGATGATAGGATGACAAGATGCAGCCAAATCAAGATCATGAAGAGCATCCTGATAACTGTGTAGAAGATTGGAATCCAACCGGCGAAATTAAGCTTATGTAATCCAAGTATCCTCAATAGCAGGCCTTCCAACCCAACGAACCAGATAACGGGTAGAACCTCCAGCAGACGAGGCTACAACTTCATGATCCAAGACGTCAGCAATCTGATCTGTAGGGGCAGAACTGGTATAAGGAATACGCAGCACATGAGGGGGAATGGAACCCTGAACAATATCCATAGAAATAGGTGGAGAAAAGGTTCCCCAATAAGGAGATAAATCAGCAACATTGAAAATGGGACTTATATGCATATCTGCGGGCAACTCAATCAAGTAAGCATTGGACCCAAGCTTCATAATGATACAATAAGGACCCAGCGAATGAGCATGAAGCTTCTTAAAAGATTGCTTTGGAAAACGCTCAGGACAATTCCGCACATAACAAAATCCCCTTCCTAAAACTCCTGGTGACAACGATGAGCATTGGCTGCTAGTTTATAAGTGTCGGTGTGCATGGATATCTGCCGACGGACGTCATCATGAAGTTGGCCTAATATGTTCAGCAAAAGAAGTAGCAGAATCTGATGCGCAGGCAGCCACAGGAAGAGCAACCAAATCAACAGGTGATCGGGGAGAAAACCCATGAACAACCTCAAAAGGACTCTTACCAGTACTTCGATTAACTGAGTTGTTATAAGCAAACTCAGCCACATGCAACAAGAAATCCGAATTACCAGGCTTATCCCCAACTAAACAGCGAAGTAAATCACCGAAACTGCGATTAACCACCTGAGTTTGACCATCCGTTTGGGGATGAAAAGTAGAGGAAAACTTCAAGGCAGAAGTAATGGAGACGGGGAGGCCATGCAAACGGACTACTTCCTTAAAAAATAATTTTGCCACATAAGAAGCATCAGTATTTTTGGCACAAGGCAAAAAATGTGCATTTTAGAAAAACGATCAAGCCTTAGGTAGACCAAGCACGAAATCCATGCTAAGATCCTTCCATGGGGCATGAGGTATCAGCAGAGGGGTATATAGACCTATGTTACGTTTGCGAGCTTTAGCTAGCTGGCATGTGCAGCATTGGGAGATGAGATGAGCAACATCACGTTTTAACGATAGCCAATAAAAACGATCTTCCACCAAGGCAATAGTTTTATCTTTGCCAAAATGTCCTGTGAGGCCGCCACCATGTAGTTCCCAAACAAGGAATTCATGAAGAGAAGTACGGGGAATACCTAATTGTGTTCCTCGAAATAAGAATCTATATCTCGTAATAAAGTCCACATTCGCGTCGATTACCATTAGAAACTTCATAAAAAATAATTCCAAAATTTGGACAAGACGAATACTCAGTCTTAATACGATCAAACCCGCTTGCCTGAACTGTCATTGTGTGCAAAATAGTAGCCACACGACTAAGGGCATCGCTTCCTTATTGTCAATGCATGGGCGGTGTCGTAAAACAAACATAAAGATCTGTAGATATTCGGACCATTTAACACGTCGATTGCTAATGGTGCGTTGAGAGTGGAGATACTTCAAAGCTTGATGATCTGAATATAACAGAAATTTGTTTGGTAGCAGTTTATAATAATGCTGCTTTGCTTCATTAAGTTTCTCACTAAAGTATGCTACAAGATGTCCTTCTTGGCTAAGCACACCACCAATCCTGACTTCGGAAGCGTCACATGCGACTTCAAAGACTTTAGTCAAATCATGATGTCGAAGAACAGGCGCCTGAGTAATATATTGCTTCAAAATTGTAAAGGCCTTGGCAGCCTCAAGGGTCCACAGAAAAGCTCTTTGTTTCATACAATCAGTGATTGGTGCCATAATAGTACTGAACCTTAGAATAAATCGTCGATAAAAAGAGGCGAGACCATGAAAGTTGCGTTCCTTTGTCAAGGTCATGGCTGCTGCCAACCAGTAATAGCTGCCACCTTGGCGGGATCTATGCTAATCCCAGCCGCAGAAATATTGAACCCCAAGAATAAGACTTGCGATTGAAGAAACGAACATTTTTCAAGTTAGCATACAATTTTTCCTGTCGTAAAGGAAAGAATATTGTCCTAAGATGTTTGAGATGTTTCTCCCGAGAACGGCTGTATATATGTATGTCATCAAAATAAACCACCAGAAATTTACCAATATAAGGTCGTAATACATGAGTCATCACCCTCATAAATGTGCTAGGTGCATTGGACATTCCAAAGGGCATAACAAGCCATTCATATAAACCATTAGGGGTTTTAAACATGGTTTTCCACTCATCTCCTTCACGAATGCGGATTTGATGGTAGCCACTGGAAAGATCTATCTTAGAAAACCATTGGGAACCAGCCAAGTCGTCCAGCATATCCTCAAGTCACGGCATGAGGGAATGACACTTAACTGTAATTTTATTTACGACGTGACTATCAACACATTTGGTAGGAGCCATCCCTTTTGGGGTAAGGAGAACTGGAACAACACAAGGGCTTAAACTATGACGAATAAAGCGCTTATCCAGCAACCCCTGAATTTGTCGATTCAATTCCGCTCGCTTAGGTGGATTCATACGATGATAGGGAAGATTAGGAATTTGCGAACTAGGAATAAGTTCAATGATATGTTGAATCTCTCTCGCTGGAGGTAGTTTATCGGGTAAGTCATTAGGTATGACATGAGAGAATTCAGTGAGGAGCTACTGTATGGGTTTAGCAAGTGGAGTGGGGGTGCTGTTAGATGCCGGTTTAAGCTAGAGAGCAAAGACCACACTAGTGTCTTGCAATTTCGTGTGCAAAGTCTACAGGTGATAAAATACTCAATCGATGCTCTGAAGCCTTCTCTTTACGTGACAGAGTTGGTTGAACATCCTTAGTTGGTTTGATGACTGGATTGGAAGGCTTTAGCATTATGTTCCTTCCCTCATGTTGAGAAGTATAGGTGTTCTCACTACAGCAACTTTTCACACAACGGTCGTAAAGCCATGGCCATCCTAGTAGCACGTGTGCGACACTCATGGGTAGGATATCATAATAAAGTTGCTTGTGACAGGGCCCCAGTTGAAGAGGAACAAGACATCTTTCAGTAACAAGTAATTTGGTTTTATCGACCCAGCCAACATGAAAAGGATGGGGATGTGGCTCGGCCTGAAGGTGAAGGCGATCGACATCAATTTTAGAGACAACATTCAGCGTACTTCCCCAATCAATAACTAGTTGACATCTATTGCTACCGCAAGGGACATAGGCTTGAAAAATACCTTTCCATGAATCAGAAGGTGGAGGTGTAGACGTTCAATAAATACAATGCATAACACTTAGTAGGTGAAAGTTCTGTGGGGACAACGAGAGGCAATATGGCCCTTAGCGTGGCAACGATAGCATTCGATGTGTGCAGCCATGGATGAAGATGGTCCTTTTTCTGTTGTAGGAACCGTAGGAGCAGTTGGACCGGCAACGCCATATTTGGAGCTAGGAATATTAGGATTTGGAGTAGGAGTGGAAGAGTGCCCGGAATACCCGGTGTATCTTCGTTGTGGGCGCAAAAAAAATTCAGCTTCCAATGCGAGGCAAGATGCATCTTCCAAAATATGCGAACGGAGCCAACAGACTTCATGCTTCATATCGTCACGAAGACCATGGATAAAGCAAGACAATGATGTCGGGTTCTTCACGAAACCCTACACGTATCTTGTGTTCAATAAAACGAGCGGGGAATTCAGTAACGGTCAAACTTCCTTGTGAAAGGGTCCATAATTGATCATATAATTGATGGCGACAAAAGGTGGGAATATATTGTTTCCGAAGCTTTAATTTCATCTTGTCCCATAGAGTCACAGGCGGCTGTCCAAATTGTTAGAGTTGCTCCTCCACGAAATTCCAATATTGTCTAGCGACTCCCTGTAGCATCATCTTACCAATGAGAAGTTTATGAGCATCCGTCAAGTCGCACCATGCGAAATAATCTTCCATGGCTTGAGCCCAATCAAGAAACATCGTAGGATCCCCATGACCATCAAAAGTAGGAGCGGTAGGCATGATGTGGCGGATGACATCGTTGTCAAAATGGCGAGGGGCATGAGTGTACTGATCATGTGGAACGGGCGGCAAGGTAGGAGCCTGAGTAGTCGCTGGAGGAAGGTCCGTTGTGTGTTGGGTATAATGGGGCGATGGCATAGACCCAAAAGAAAATAGGGGCTCTAATTGAGCCTTGGGCGTTTTGAGCAAGGGCCCAATTGAGCTATGCGACATGCCTTATGGCACGGCCTTGAATTTTTTATCCACCGGTGGATTTGGCAAAAGGCCACTTCTTGGTGATGGCGTACACGAACTCAAGAGCACAGCTGAGGTAGAAGAAGGTTCAGCATGTCCAGCCCGAAAGTGATTGATAAGCAACTGAACGGAGTCTTGGAGTTTGGTGATGGCAAAGTCCATCGTCGCACACAGTTTGTGAGCCTGTACCAACTCTTCTTTGTGGTCAGCGCTAAGCTTGGAGAGTTGGGTTTCAATGCCAACGATATCGTCAGAAACTTTGTCTTGGAACACATGACATTGTTCCGCAAGGCTGGCCAAGGTTTGGGGTGCCATGGCAGAGAGCAAATGCAAGTGAAAGTGACGGAAGGTTCTGATTACCGATTGATGTAGAACAACCCGTAGGTATTAGAGTAAACACTTGAGCAATAGAACAGAGAAGAATTAGAGATCGAAGAGACAAAGGGAAAGGGAAGGAATCAGAGTTTAAAGTAAGGAAATTTATCATTAATCAAGTCTGCCTTACAAGATTACAAACTGCTCTATTTATAGAGACAAAACCCTTTTTAGTTTAGGAAAATGAAAAGTAAACTTTAAGAAATAGGATAACAAATTAACTAATAAGAAATCCTTCAACAAGAAGGAATCCTTAACCGAATTAGGAAAACTAATCCAAATAGAATTAGGAAAATTATTCATATGCATTCTGCATCAAAAAACTTATCTGGTTATCCTCAAGTACACTTATACCATCTCATGTGGCAAAGGTTTAGAGTTCTGAAGGCCATGGCAAGATGAAACAGCATGAATATAACTTCTTGTGTATTAAATTTTCCAGAGCAGAAAATAAGATACAAGTTTCATCTCAAGTAGAACAGACCTGTGTTCCTGAAGCATCCTCTCAAACTCCTTTTGTGATGCTTTAATCTATACAAAACAAATGAATTGGCATCAAAACAGAGATTCATACATCAAATTATAGGGATTCTAGCACTATGCATTCTCTGAGCCTGTTTAATATAATTCACTCAAACATTAAGGGCACATTTGGTTCACGGATTACACTTCTTGGGAATAAACTTCCCATGTCTAATCCCACGAGATGGGAATGGAGGATGTCCATTCCCATGTTTGGGAACGATGGGAAATAAGGACTAGGAAATGTCATTTTCTCCCATTCCCATGTTTGGTTTGTGCAGTATTAGAAATGAAAAGTTGATCGGTTTTCCAACAATACCCTTGATTTTTTATCATTAAAAGTTATTAATATGAAGAGTTGTTTAAGGGTCAAAAGTGGTATTTTAAAATAATAACATGGGTAAGTTAGTCCAAAAAAAATTGCATTAAATGCTTTCCCAAGTGGGGGGAAAAAGTTTCCCAAGGTGAGCCATGAACTTCCTCCCCTACATGGGAAGTCCATATCCATGAGTCCATAATTGCATTCCCAAGAGTGCACTTACCAAACATGGGAATGCAATTTGGAACCCATTCCCAAGCTCCAAAACCTTGAACCAAATGGACCCTAAGTTTTAACTGATAAATAAACTAAAGCATGTCTTTAGGTCTATCACTGCAATGTTTTAAAGATGAGGTATGAAATTGATACATGGCCCAAACTTGGAGGGTGTAAAATGTAATTAGGCCCGAGTTCTGGACAAATCTAACTGTTTCTAACAAATGAATGTTAATATGAGCAGAAAGACTGATTTTAATTAGTACATACTACATTGTCCACACTCGACATCATTGAACAAAATGGCAACACATCATACAGTTACATGCCTTACCTCAGAAACCAACGCCTTGCAACTCCAAATGAAGGCTCCCTGAAAAATAACAGTATAAGAGTCCATATCAGGTTGCTAAGGTCATGATTCAGTGAATGTTGAAGAACATCAGCCATGTGAACATACAAGATACCTAAATCTTGTTTTTCAAATTGTAAGGGAATAAAATAGCATGATGCTACAATACGGAAACAAGTTTGCTTTTTCTTTCCGGGGGATGGGGGACTCCACAATCTTTCTTGGTTTTGAAGCCAAGACACACACAACCCTTGTATTCGCAAGAAGGCTAATGCCACTAGGTCTCAGAGCTTTAAATTCTGCAAGTTCGAGGAATTTAAATACGAGATTGCAAGAGTGCTCCAGTGAATTGTTGAACAATATTACTAGTTGTATAAAACATGAAACAAAAGGAATTATTAAAGAGATTACTTCAAAAGATTAGTAAAGCACAACTTAACCCAACTTAAACTCATTGGGATGGTACAGGGGAACAAGATGGACTCGGGGGAACAAGATAGCTGCAAATAGTATGCTGCAGTACCAACAAAATTTGTGGCAGCCAGAAATGGGACATTACAGGAAATACAAATATATTATATGCTTGGACTTTACGCTTCAAAATTGGAACTCCTTGATAATTTTAGTAGTTTAACAAAGATAACAGTCCAAATTTATTTAACAGGATCAGAAGAAAAATCTCATTTACACCGGAATTAAGAGGAGAACACATACTGCTCCATGTGCTGCATGCTGCTGAATATGATCAGAAGTCACAACCCAAACTTTAGGGCATCCATCCTCCCTTAAGGCTGCAACCTGTTACATATAGAAAAATCACAAGTTACAGATCAAGAAAAAGAAATACACATAAAACAGAGCAGAGAAGCAAATACCAGAGGGTAATTGAAATTTGTATTGCGAAGCTAACCAGTTTCAGGCCTAGAACAGTGCACAAATGCAGTTGTGTACTAGAACTGAGATTCAGGACATCAAATTCTTTCAAAATTTTGTACCGCATACATGATGCAACTCTTTGTGTACCAGTTACCAAGTGATATTTAAGAAATATGAGACTCTTAGATTACAAGAGACATTAGGGCCCCACCAACAGCCCAAGTAATTCACAGGTTCTCACCCATAGGGTCTGCCTGGTGAGGAGGGTCATGTGACTGATGCCATACACAGAATTAACCTTTTTGTGCAAATGAAAAGCCTTCTCCCTAAACCTTTTTACGGCATACGTAAAACCCATCCCTTATATTTTTTCCAGCAAGTCCTCCAATATATATTATGTATTTGTACTATGGTCTGACTCAAAGAAAAAAGTTGTAGAGAACGATAAGCTTCGACTTGGACAAAAACAAACATAGTTTATTTTATTATTCATTAAGTGAAGATTTTATTATTCATTAAGTGAAGTGATTTTTGTGACCAAAATGGACCAAAAGGAAGTAGTATGACCCCATCGTGTCCTCCTTACACCATTACTGGTTCTAGTTATAACATTTAGTAGAGAACAATCTCTAACCTTTCTATAACAATCCTGTCTGAAATGTAACCATCATTGTGCCGAACAAGAACTCTTAATAGCCATACATGGACATCCCATTTCCATATGTGGATATAAATTTACAAATTTCCAGTAGCCTCAAAAAAGAAGAAAAAGTTAAGAAAAAAGGAACTTGAGAAAGGGAGATGAAGAACATCATATTGCATATTCAACTGAAAGGAGTACACACAATTTATACAGAAATCCATGACATAATCTGTTAATGAACTCTACAAGAAGACCTAAATTTAAGCTAACAGCCCTAGGCTAAAGCCTAATAATCAGCCATTAAGCTAAATGTCTAATAACTCAAAGGAAAATTTTGAGTTGTTGTCCTTCATTTTGTTTTCTTTACCACTCTCATCTATGAACCAAACAAAAGAAAATTATGGAATATATAGAACATTCTTTTCTTTTGCATTCTGCATGGATTTTTACCACTAAGCTTAGTGTTAAACACAAATCTGGACTCCTGCAGCCTTACCTGTAATCGATGTGTTTAATATACTATATAACCCCAATTTTCCAAAATCCTATATCCACCAAACCCTAGCCACTTTTTTCTTAATCTGACATTGTTGCTTCTAGAACAACCAAATTACCATTCTTGGGGGTACTGCTCATAGCCACAAAACAGCATCCATGAATTGGTTTCCTCTTTTTCCCTTCAGCTCCTGATCCTTTCCTCTTTCTTTTCACCATAAATCCTTCACTCTAAATCTTCTAGCCCAAAAGCCTTGCTGCCATAAACAGCTTGCAATAAAAAACATAGCTTGTCAAGTAACTCCTATTATATACAGTGCTCTATGTTAGGTATTAGCCTACTACATCTCACCATCCTGCATCAGAATTTTTACCTCGAGCTCAATATAATATGGGATATCCTACATCAAATGAAAAAAGAAAAAAACAAGCATGGGACTTTGTGTTACCAATTAAATAAGAACCGCAGACCCAAATCAGGTAAACAAACATAGCTTTATTTCACTTTTGAAGTGACTGCATAATTCTAAAGTTGGTTTCAGCTTCAAGTCATTCCTCACCTCTTTCTCAATCCACGCATCAGCACAAGATTCACCTGAGTAAACTACATCGACACTGCAACATCGTGAATTCTTAGGATTACAGTTCCTTAGATGAAGTGATTTAGTACCAAGGTGATTTAATCAAGCATATACACTAACAGCTGAGTGTAACTTTTTTTTTCATCATCAAGTTAAAAATTGAAAATTCAAGAAGACAAACTTGCCATTCAGGATGACCTTGATGAATAACAGAACAATAGAGTTACTGATACGTTATTTTCCCACCAAAGAAATAAATACAGTTTATGGAGAATCTGGAAAACGAAAACCATTTCATCAATCAACTAAAGTTACAGAAGAAAAAAGTTATTAAATCATCTCTTATGATGTCTCAAGAGGCAACATGCAAGTATGTTGTGATCATATAGTCTTGAATCTCCTGATATCTGCTTCAAATGTCATTAGGCGAGGCCCAGAAAATGGAAAATGTTAAAGAAGCACAAGGGCTAATAGAACTTTTTCCTTTTTGGTCTTCAGTGTAATCTGAGCTTGTTTGTAAGAAAATAACACCAAAAATGATTTTTTTGGATAAGGTTTAGATAAAAATAAAAAATAAAAGGAAATTCTTCGCCAAAAGAAGTTTCAGTAAACAATTTCATATGGTGATTTCCATGAACTTGCATTGGAAACTTATCTGCACACACACGTCAAAACTTTAAACTAAAATTTGGGTTAACCACATAAAACACCCCAAACTTTGGGGCCATTTCAAATTGGTCCTGATCTTTGAAGACTAAATTCACAAAACCTACATGTAAGCATCTGTCAATGAGTCCGTTTATGTCTGTCAAATGATGATGTGGCAAATATGCGTCCTGTATTTAATGCTTAGGTGGAGTCCACATAGACCAAAAAAACAAACTTAATCAAATATTCAGGATTAACCCACACCACCTACCACCAAAATTATACAAAACAAACCCAAATTATTAACCAAAAAAACAATGAAAAATCTGAAGAAAAATATAATAAAAGCAAGTACGGTGTGGCTGGGGGTGATGGGATTGGAGGTTGCGTGGTGGCTCACAGGGTGGGAGGTTGAGCCCCAGGAGATCGGTGGTGGACTATGAGGGTGGGTGTGGAAAGGCTAGGTGGTTGGAGCTGTTGGCTGTGGGTGGAATCCACATAAGCATAAAATGTGGGAATCACATTTTCATGTCATCATTTAACAGACATACTAATGGGCTATTGACAAATGCGCTTACATGCAGGTTTTTCGTGAGTTTGTGCATGAGCTTATAGGGTCTTCAAAGATCAGGTACCAATTTGAAATGGATCCCAAAGTTTAGGCGGTTTTATGTAGTTAACCCTAACATTTATTACTAAACGCGTCAAATCAAGTTCAGTCAAGTGATTTGTCCCAAAGTTTCGGGGACCAATTGTGTATGTGCTAGTGGAAAAATGATATTCCTTAAGCATGCAGTGGCATATTTTTAATGCCAAAGCATTCAAATGATTTGAGGTTTGGATGTTGAAGATTAAAGCCCTTTCACCTCAGGCTTATCATCCAAACTCAAAGTTATTACACTAGTACATTGAATTCAGACAAAATGAGGGTGTTGAAAGCAAGAAGTGAAATTACACTCACAAACATGCACATGCACATGCAAAAGAACAGTACAAGGTGCAGTTTTACTCTGCACTCCTCACCCCAAAAAAAAAAGCAAAAAAAAGAACCAAAGAACAAGTCAAGATTTTCATTGATTAGTAACCACAACAGGTATTGTACCCTGAGTTCAGAAACAATACCCATTAAAATCTTCCTTGTGTGTGGGGAGTCCAGACATCATGGCATCAAATACAGCCACCACTTTCACCTCTGTAAATGTTTCAGAAATAAAAAAGAGAGTAAAGAAGATGCAGATATAGAAAGAAAAAAAAGGGAAAATCAAGAAAACCATTATGTTGAAACTATTCAACATGGCACGCACAACATGAGTCATGCACCGAGTTATCATAGATTTTTTTTTTTTCCTTCCAAATACAATATTACAGCAAAACTTGATGAAGCTACTGATGAAACAATAAAAAATTTAATGGCAAACCATTGGAAGGAAAATTTACAAAAATAAAGATATGTTAATATACAAACTAGATTAAAGAAGATCAACAACTTTGTCAGATCAACAAAACAAAAGAAGAAGAAGAAAAGAATAGTCATATTCAATCCTGGACTGCTTTCTCCATTGCACACTAATTATAAAAGGCACCTAAGTGAACTTAACAGAGACAGCAAAAATAAATGACATGGAACATAAGATATCAGACTACTCAGCTAGTAATAAATTTAAGATCCAGCAGTTTGGTTTGCACTGCTATTTTTTGCGCGCACGCTCCACATCGGAAGTAAATGGAAATTACAAAATGCATAAACATTGAGTGAAAAAAACTTAAAAGCAGAGTATCAAACCCCATACCACCTAAAATTGTTCAACAGTCTTGTTCCTGTTGTATTTCTCAAGCCATATAACAACTACGGGAAGAGTGGGTGAAAGAAATAAAATAAAAATTAGAAAGAAAACAAAAACCTAAAAAGATGATTTGTTAAACAGATTGCATATGATGCAAAGCTCTTTTGCAAGGACATATCAAGAAAAAAATATTTTCAATACAAAACACACTCACTAACACCACAACTTGTTATGGTCTATGGAATGTAGTCAACAAAGACACAACAAAACACACCTTATTCTTCTTCTTTTCATCCTTTGTTTCTTAAAGAAATCATTTCACGGCACTCTTTCAAAAGTGGCTCAAGTTTCCCATAATTGAAGGGCCCGTTTGATAACCATTTCAATTTTAGTTTTGTGCTTGAGTATAGAGGAAAAAAGAGGGAGAATAGAAGTGAGAATGAGAGTGGAGATGGGATTGACAGGGACGATGAGAGGGGAGGATGTAAGGGAGGAGTAACAAAAGTGAAAACTAAAACTAAAAACTGAATCTATTTGAAATTGTTTTCACTTGTGTTACTCCTCCCTCCCATCCTCCCTTCTCATACTCTTCTCAATCTCATCCTCAATCCCATTCTCACTCTCATTTTCCTCTATACTCTAGCACAAAAAATGAAAACTAAAAACTAAAATTGAAATGGTTATCAAACAGGCCCAAAGTTAACCACCCAATACAATGTTTATCCAATATCTATTAAAGAAATTGCAAACCTCTTAGCAAGCTGAAAGTTACAAGTTCATCGATTAACTTTTGGCGAGCCATATCAAGTCTCCCATTGATAAAATGTTTCTTCAGCTTCGCCCAATAACCGCATACGTTATACCCATCAACAAGCAAGACCGGAACTGCAATGTCCCAACCCTGGTTTGTACTGCAAAAAGAAGAAAGAAACAAAAAAAGGAATCAAAGGGCAATTTCCAAGAAGCATAAAAGGAGAGGAAGCTGGCAGAGAGCATTACTAGTAGAGGGTGGTGGTTGGATCACGATAGAGGTCTAAGTCTTCTGGAAGCTGTTCCTTGGGCACCTTCTTTCTGCGGTAACTGGTCGAGTGCTTAGGTGTGCTAGACTCTCTCTTTTGGTACTCCTACAAGATGTTTGAACATATGAGATAAACATGAAGGAAAACTTCTACTTCTGCATGCCAGAGTAGTGTGTAGGATTGTAAGCAAACTACCTTCCATAACTTCAAAAGCTGTAAATTCTGCCTGACATTTGATGTAATCCTGGGAGGACTTGGCTCCGAGCCCTGTTGACAGAACACAAACTCTCTTAAAGGACATGTTCATACACCAATATTCAATTCACATTAGCAATATTCAATTGACATTGCAAAATAAAGGAAGGAATTCATGAAACTTGCATAGAAAAAAAAAGAAGAAAAAAGTGAAAGGAAAGGAAATAGAGAGAGAGAACCATTGGAGTAGGAGATGGAGGTTGCTGAGACTTTTTCTTGTTGTTGTTGCCCTTGGCCATTATAACAAACTTGACACAGGAACAAGAATAGCAGCCACGTGGCACCAGAAAGAGTAAAGACGACGATGGAGCCGATTTCATTTCATGGACCCCTCCCTCCCTCCTCCACTCTCGCTGGTTTGGGCTAGTCCTCCTCTCTGTTGTGCTTGTGACTCTTGTCTCAATTTCTCATAATTTCACCGCTTTAGACCACCCCACCTTCATCCCATTCCCACCACAACGAGAGCCCTTCGCCATCACCAATCTTTATCCACTTGTCATCTTTTTCTTTTCTGTTTCCTTCCTTCGCCCATAATTTGTTGGGTCATTTACAAAAGACCCAACCACGAGTCATTTGCAAAATTTGTTTTTATAAGGGTTTCCTCACTAATTATCTTTGAAGTTTTCAAATTTTTAAATCAATCACTTTAATTTTTTGATTCACACATCAATTTAGTCCATTATGTTGATATGTGTTTAAATCAATTTGGTGCCTTTCCCTTATGTTAAATTTGGTAATGCCACCAACTTTAAATTGCGTTTGGATGAGAAAATTTAAAAGTATAATAAAAGATTTCATAAATGACGGAATTTAAAATGACGAAAATTAATGTTCTAAAATTTGTAAAGTTTATTGTTTTGGTGACGGATTTAAAACAAGGAATTTAATATTTATTTGTAAAGTTATCTTTTAAAAAAATTTAATCTCTCTTGAGATTTTAAAAATGACAACTTTTAGATAGAATTTAAAATTGAGATTTGTGATCTCCAAATTCCATGTTTTATCCCATGCATAATTTCTAAATTTATATGGTTTTTTTATCCAAACATGGGAATTGGTTTATGTCAATTTAGAAATTCTGACTTTTGTTAAAATTCCAAGCTTATTTCCCTAATCCAAACGAACTGTAAAAATTCCGGGACATTGTAAAACTTGAGTAAAGATGGCATTTCTTTAGTAAATGCATGAGTTTTAAAACTAAAATGAGTTGTATTTTAATGAAAATACAAGTTTTAAGTGGGTGGTCAAGTAAAATTTTGCCTAAATGTAATATCAAATAACAAATTGATGTGTAGACCAAAAATAAAAGACCACATCAATTGATTTTGGAGTTTGAAACCCCAACTTCAATATTGCTTCATTAAAATATAAATAAATAATTAATTAATTAAAAAAAACTCTTTTAAACTCAACAATATTAATCAATTTTTTTTGAAAATACCTAGAGCTTTGAATTTCAAAAAAAAAAAAAAAAAAAAAAAAAAAAAAAATATCCAAAATTATATATCAATTTGTGTATTAAATAACCTTATAAAATATATATATTAAATAAGAGTTTTTTGCACTAACACCCTTTCAGGTTTTTGAATTTTCACAAAACCCTTTGAGATTTCATAAATTATACAAGCACCCTCCTGAGGTTTCAAATAGTTTCACAAAACCCATTTTCGTTGATTGTTCCTCTAAAACTTGATGATTTCATTTTTAAAAACATGTGCAAATGACAAAAGCAACCTCAGTGAATGTATGTGTAATATAATCTCAAAGGCTAACTTTGTCTTTTGGATAATTTTTTATTTATATAAAATCATCAATTTTTGGATGAAAAATCAATGAAAATGGGTTTTGTGAAAACATTTAAAACCTCATGGGATGTTACTATAATTTTTGAAACCTCAGAAGGTTTTGGGTAAAAGTCGAAAACCTAAGAGCATCCACAATGAGCTCCCTAAACCACCTCCTTAGACAAATTTTAGGGAGGAATCATAAAAATGTAACTCCAACCACACTCCCTATCCACCTCCTAAAATAAGGAGTCCTCTAGGAGCTCCTAAATCTGAGGAGAGAGAAAGGATTCCTAGTGGCTCCCTATAATTTAATGCTGCTTTATTTAATGAGTATTTCAAACCTTTATTTAATGCTAAATATTTTTATTTTATTTTATAATAGAGATGAATCAATTAAAAAAGAGTTAAAGCATTTATGACTCTTCAAATTAGGGAGTATGGTTGGAGTTGAAATTTTTTAGAGAGCTCCTAAAATAGTTTTCTTATATTCTTAGCCAAATTTTAGCTAAGAAATAGAGAGCATCATTGTGGATGCTCTAAGGGGGTACTAGTGTAAATAAATCTATTAAATAAACATGAATTGCAATGAAACCCGCTTGGTTCATGGGAAATGAGACTTATGGATGAGAAATCAATTGTTTTCCTATGTTTGGTAAGTTCAGACATGAGAAATTGTTGCCTGACACATGCAAAAGTAAGGGGAAAATGAAGCCATCATCCCAACTTGGATTTTGTTTTCTCTCCTCATTAGAAAGTTTAGGAAAATGAACAACATTAAATGCACATTTTTCATAATTATTTTGTGCCCATTAACAATTTAGAATTACAATATGTATTTTTTGTTTTTAATTTAATATGGATATAATTCATACTCAAAACAAACATGAAAAATAACATAGCGATTCTCAAATCCTTTCTGGGAACCAAATGGGCCTGAAAGAGTTGTTAGCCGGCGTGGAAACGGAATTGAGTTTGAGATATGGCGCAGAGAATGTTTCGAGTGTTTTTGGTGGAACATGTTACTTGACTGTTGCGGTTAATCCGGTAACAAGAAAGTAAAGAAGAGAGACAGACAGGAGAGAGAGATTCAGTTGAGACTTGACACTTGACAAACACACCTCAGTTGAGACTTGAGAGAATATGAAAAGAAGAAGATGAAGGAGAAGAAGGAGGAGGCGGTGTGCGTGACTGGAGCCAATGGGTTCATAGGGTCATGGTTGGTGAAGACTTTACTGGAAGAGGGCTACACCCGCATCCACGCCTCCGTCTATCCTGCCTCCGACTCCTCCCACCTCCTCAACCTCCCTGCTGCCTGTGGCCTCCCTCCTCACGACATCAATATCACCATCTTCGAGGCCGACCTCCTCGACGCCGACGCCGTCGCCAGAGCCATCGAGGACTGCCACGGTGTCTTCCACGTGGCGTCCCCTTGCACCCTCGAGGACCCCACCGACCCCCAGGCTGAGCTAGTGCTGCCCGCGGTCCAGGGCACGCTCAATGTCCTCCAAGCCGCCTTGCGCTTCGGCGTCAGGCGCGTCGTCCTCACCTCCTCCATCTCTGCCATGGTCCCCAACCCCTCTTGGCCCCCCAACAAGCCCTTCGATGAGTCCTCCTGGACCGACATCGATTACTGCAAAGCCCGCCAGGTACTTCTGATCATTGCGAAATTGTGATTTCATGCATTTTAATAGTATATTCGTTATCACAGATGTGGGTTAGGCCAGGGCAGTGAGTTTGCAGTCAAGTTCGAATCCCCACCCCCTGTAAATTAGGTTAATTTAGAGTAATTTAGTATTTTTAAAAAGTAGGTATAATTGTTAGCAACTGATATGAATATGAAGATGAATATGCATATTTCATAATTATTTAATTTTGTACATACAGAAATGGTATCCGGTGTCAAAGACACTGGGTGAGAAAGCAGCGTGGGATTTTGCAGAGAAGCATGGATTGGATGTAGTGGCCATCCATCCAGCCACATGTCTTGGGCCGCTCCTGCAGCCTAGCACTCTCAATGCAAGCTGTGCTGTTTTGCTCAACTTGCTTCACGGTTCTGACGATACCCAAGAGTATCACTGGTTGGGGGCTGTCCATGTTCAAGACGTTGCCAAGGCACAACTTTTGCTATTTGAGACTCCTGCTGCTTCTGGCAGGTACCTTTGCACCAATGGTACCTTCCAATTTTCTCACTTTGCTGACACGGTCTCCAAACTCTATCCTCAATTTCCACTTCACAGGTTGGTGTCAAAGTTCCTCACTTTTTGTTATTTACTTGTTGATTTTATATATGCTAGATTTTATCATACATATATATATATATATATATATTCACAACAGTAGAGAACTCAGAAGATGATATTCTGGTTTTGTATTTCTGAATGAATGAAATTACAAGAGAATCTGAGTATACATATTCAGTAGAATGCTTACGACACATAACGGACTATATAGCTTAATAGCTAAGCAATCACTTAGCAGCACATGACCATACTCTAAACGTTATCCCCCCTCGATGTCAGCTGGGGAATCGCAGCCTGAGATTGGAACAATAATGAACAATGATTGGACTATGTAAACCTTTAGTCAAAAAACATCCACAACCTGTTCTTCAGTGGGAATGTTCTGAAGCAAAATATCCTTGAATGATCCTCAAATGGGACTTAAAAGTGATGGATTTGTTGTATTGCAAGTAGTGAAGTATACCTTATATCAGTGTAATGATCTCATTCAATGCGGTGCACTACTGACTATATTCTCTTGTTGCCTCATTTACATGAAATGATTATTTGGTTATTGCTGTTTACCTACACAAAGATTGGAGATTCTCTCATTCTATTTTGGTTATTTTACAAGTTGTATGCTTTTTGTTTTTCATTATTGCCTCCGTTTTTTTTTTGTGGAAGCTGGACTCCGTATGCTTATAGGTGTCATTTTTTTTAAGGTTTACTGTTGATTTACCCCCTGAACTTGTACGCTACTTTCAATTTGCACTCTCACCTTTTTTTTAACTAGAAAATTGAGTACAAAAACTAATTTTTATTGTCAATTCCCCCCTACCGTCTAAATCAACGTGTCATCCAATAAATCTATCAAATCATTAAAAAAAAAAATTTTGAAAAAATTAAAGGAAAAAAAAAATTCCTATTGTCCCACCACCCCCCCTCTCCAACCTTGCGGTTTTCTTCTCCTCCCCATTCCCCCATGACCACCACCATTCACTCCAGACCAATCCCCCCACCTCCCTCCCTTCAGTTTTTTTTTACCCCCAGACCATTCACCCCATCCCATCCTAACCCGATCCCCCCATGACCACCACCGCAAGCCACCCTCCCTTCTCCATCTCTTCCTCTCTCTCTCTCTCCCCCCTCTCTTTCTCCCTTTCCCATTCGAGCTACCCCCCTCCCCTCTGTATTTTCAATTACAACAAAAGGGAAAGGAGATGAAGTGGGTGGGCCGCTCTGTTTATTAAAATAATTTATTTTATTTTATATTATTTCAACATATAAAATGACCAATTTGCCCTCATATTTAACGGCAAATTGGATGAAATGTTGAGATTGGGGGGGGGGGGGGGGGGGGGGGGGGGGGGGGGGGGGGGGAGGGAGGTGAAAATATCGTACAAGTTCAGGGGGTAAATCAACAGTAAACCCTTTTTTTTAAAAACGCCCCCTCCCCAATTTTTATTTATTTTTAAAAATGCTTCAAGACAGTCCCGGGTCTTGATGATTTGACAATTTTGAATTTGAAAGATGATATGCAACAATCTAATGATTGCCGATACTACTTTTAATGTCTTGGGATGCATGAAGTTCTTGTAGTGTAATTTAACAAGCTTGTAATCACTGTTGTTCTCATTGCATCAATTCTTCATTCTTTCCCTAGGGTGGTCTTGTATGGTTTAAGGGAAAGGCTTTTTATAACTAGCTTTGCCTTTTAATATGGAAACAGGCTTCAAGTGAACCCAAAGATAATCCAATAAAACAAAATTAAAGTTGTCATTGATACCAACTTGTATCGGTACAGTTTGGTGACAATGTAGACATGTTTTGATTTAGATAGCATTTTTCTTCCTGTTGATCGAATCATATTATCGTTACTGATTTGACTGGTTCCATAGAGAGAAGTAGGTGTTGATGTTGACTTGAACGACTTACAGGTTTAGTGAGGAAACCCAACCAGGCCTAAAGGAATGCAAGGATGCTGCAAAGAGGTTGATCGATCTGGGGATGGTCTTTAAACCAGTTGAAGATGCTGTCAGGGACACAGTGGAGAGCCTCAAAGCTAAAGGCTTTTTGAAGCAGGAAATGTACCCATCCAATTAAAATAGTTGGCAGTAATAATGAGTTCAAATGAAATGCACCTTTTTATCATTGCCTTTTCTTTTGTTGGTTCCAGAAGTGCATTATCCTGGGTCGGAATATCATTACGATATATACATATATATACATATTTAAGAGTAAATTATAATTGTTTTAGTGAATTAGTTCCCAAAAACCATTACACTCACTCTCTCGTGTTCTGTTTACTGCACAATCACAGTATTCTGAAACTACAAGCATGTGATGAGATGATGAAGAGCATCAGTCCAAATTTCACAAATCCAGGCCGCATACAATTGCAGATGACTGGATTGGAATATTAATTAATTTTATTGCACTGGACAACTGGCCTAATCTAAATATGCTTGTTATATGAATGAATGATGAGTGAATACCAGGACAATGAGAGAGAGAAAGAGAGAGAGTAGAAGGTCCTTCCTATTATTCTAAGGCACGTGATTTGGGGTCCTCCTAATGAACAAAGGAGAGTGGGTGTCTGAGGGGCGTCTTTGTCGCCCGGTACCGGGCAAAGCTTAGATGATAAAACAGTCTTTGGCTTAAGCTAGCTTACTATTGGTCATTCTTTTTCGCCACTCTGTTTCTGTTAGTTTTTAGCCTGTTTTGCTTTTTCCTCTGCCCTCTTGCTTGGAAGTTGCAACTCTTTGCCTTGTTTTATTTTTAAAAGCCTCCAACACTCCATGTGCATATCATCTTCCCTACCCTTGCTCTCACCCCTTTTTTGACAACAAAAGAATCAATCCATCCATCCACTCATTTTACTATTCTTCTGATTTTTGAGAAGAGAGAGAGAGAGAGAGAGAGAGAGAGAGAGAGAGAGAGAGAGAGAGAGAGAGAGAGACAAGTGCAGTTCCAAATCATGGAGGTTCCTCTGGCATTGCATGTGCTCCAATCACCTCTCGGCCCACTTGATATTATTCATATTCTACTACTACACTTATCAACTTTTCTTCCTTGTTTATATATCCTTCCAACAGTCGTTTAACAAATAAGTCACAATCTCCCTTAATCTTAAAGCAAGCAGCTTTATGTGTAAAGAAAAGAGACAAGCCTCCAACTCCATTCAATTCAGAGCAGAGCAGATCACCACAAGACAAGAGATTAGAGATGACCAGTCCAGCACCTTGCAGCCGATCCTGGTAATCTCTAGCTAGCGTTTCTTACTTAATTCATTTTCATTCTATCTTCTCTACTATCTATGATAAGTATGAGTAATTAATTAATTACCAACAACAACAACAACAAATGAATTCACTCACAGGTCCATAAGTGAGGACTCGCTTAAAAGGTATGTGCAGTTTGCAAGTGAAAGCTGCATACAAGAGTTACTGTCTGCTTCAGACTCGAACAGGGACACTAGGGTTGGGACTGGGAATAATGCCAATGATGGCTGGAAGGTTCTTACTCTCGACAACGGAGTAGAGATATCAAAACGCAGGTCTGGAAAAACTGCATCTTTTCACACCTTCCGTAGCCGCTGGCTGCTCACATCAGTATCACCCCAGCAATTCATTACCGTTGCCAACGCCATCGACGCTGCCAAGGTCAACTACTTACTTATCGATGCTGGCTTAGAGATAACTAGTAACTGTTTTTGTTGGATTCTTCTTTAATTTATTCAACCTGCTACTGCAGCAATGGGATCCTGATCTGGTAGAAGCAAGGTACATAAAAGATCTTGAAGATAACCTCAGCATCATCCGCCTCAAGTTTGGAGATAATGCTAAGCCTCTATTTAGAAATAGAGAATTCATAGTCTATGAGCGACGTGAAACCATGGAAGATGGCACCCTGGTACGTAGGAGGGACACTCCGTATTGCATTTGAATGATTTGTGAAATTTTAACAGTGGGGATGTGCAGCGCAGGTGGTAGCAGTTGCTTCACTTCCAAAGGAGATAGCTGCTGGATTGCAACCAAAGCAAAATAATGCAATCAGGGGACTGCTGTTGCAATCAGGATGGGTAGTGGAGAAGCTTAAAGGTGACTCTTGTATGGTCACCTATGTTGTTCAGGTGCTCTACTAGTACTCTACTCTTTACTCTTTAACAACAACATTCATTAATTTAATAATAGCAGGATTGCTATTTATTTTCCTTTGTTTTCATGATCCAGTTAGATCCTGCTGGATGGATGCCCAGGTGCTTTGTCAATCGACTTAACAACAGACTGGTTATGATCATTGAAAATCTAAAGAAACTGGCACAAGCTTGTCCAATTGATGGGGATGGGGGGGAAACATGATTGATTATTTTGTACAAACTGGAGAAAAGAAAAGGGCCTCAATTCTAATTGTGATAAATACCAATGATATGATCTCTCTCTCTCTCTCTCTCTCTCTCTCTCTCTCTCACATGAATTAATAAAATAAATTTGGAGGGGAAAAGGGAAGATAGAAAAGCGTATGCTACGACCATTCGTTTATCTCTTGTTAAGTGGGAAGATTTGGAAGAAACCATAAATACTGAAAATTACTTGTGTAAGTCAAAAACGCTTTTACAAAGGGAAGTCAATCTCATTTAGGGTTTTAATTATTTACAAAGTAGAATCAAATCGGTGCTTTGTTAAGCTCTTGTGCTCAATATTCCGTGCTTTGTTTCTCATCTACAAGTTGAAAGATGGCCAATAGAAGCTAAACTCAGCTAGCCTAGTACTACTTACCTCGGGAGTTCTCATGCCAGCCTGAAATGAATTTGTTTGAAGAAATAATTTAGCAATGCCCCAACGTTATTGTTCCTTGCACTAAATGAATTTATTACAACGAAAAAGGGTAGCCCTAACTGAACCAAACAACACCGTTGAGTTTCAAATCGGTTCGAAAATTTTGAAACATAGAGGCGCCAACACACGACAGAAAGGCAACCACGAGATATAACTGGTCAAATGTGATCAGATTCTTATCAATCTGAGGCGTGCATGATACAAGGGACGGATAGGGTTTCCAAGCATTTAAGAAGAAAAACAATGCGTTGCTTGCATAGGGTATGTGGAAGGGGAAAAATAAGAAGCGTAAGCGGCTCTATTCGGTTCTAAGCAGCATAGACATATAAATCGAACTGAACCAAGTTGACTGTTTCTGTTCAATTCAGCTCAAATCAGAGCAAATTTCATCCAAAAAAAACCCCAGTTGTGGGTTGTTTTGCCCACCCGTACTACCATCCATCCTATCAAATTTTCTGCAAGGTTTTGACATGTGCCAATCATGAGAACCCTTTTTGGGATTTTCGTCATTCTCCCTCTTCTTTTTTCTATCATCTTCTCTCTTCAGTCTCTCTCTCGTGACGATTTTATCTAGAGATCTCCGGTGCCCCTCAGCCTGCATTCGAACACCCGTTGTGATTTGGACACCCCACAGTCCACGATAGAAGCAAAAAGCAAATTGTAACCATAGGATCTTCCCACGCATTAATTAGAGATCATAGTCGTCTCCTGAGCTATTAACATACAAAACTGAGCACTGGCATTGGCAACAGTATCCCTCCTCCTTTGGATAATAAAACACAAAAGAAAATTATATTTAAAGGAAGCATCATAAGTTCTCACCAGAATCCAAAACACCCGAGCTAAAAATTCCAATTCATGCTAGGGTTGGTGTGGTTGGGACTTCCTCTCACGTTTGGAATACACACACAAACATATCATTTTTAGCAAATATATACACCTGATTGCTAGACAACTGGAGAGCACAAGAAAACAAATTGAAAACATATTTAGATGTTCTCTTTCTTGATAACCATAACAATTCATTGTATGGAAAAGACCATAAGCTGTATTGTTCAAGTACACAGGATGTGTACAAGTCTACTCCCGAAGACTATTTTGACAGACAATCCGAACCGCTACATCACTCAATATTTTACATTACAACACCCTCCAGTTCTATCAAGGGATATCACTTATTACAGCACCTGACTACTTTACGACATCCATCATGGGATAACATTTATTTCAACACCTGACCTGAGAGCACTTTATGCTGCACTTTGGGACAGGCACGTTTCATCTGAATTTAAAAAAGGGGAAGTTTTAGAAGAATGGAAATGACAATTTTAAATGGACCCCTGAAGCACCAATCAACGCAAAAGCAACTATAGATTTACAAATGGCATCGGCATTCTTATGGTGCCTCACATATTCGACAAGTGCCTCAATTAACCAGAACACTTGGATAAATGGTATAATCTAACTAACAGAGGAGACTTATAAAATATTACTTCTTACCTCTTGAACCCCGTGGTTTTAACTATGAAGAAGGAGCATCTGGCTGGTTTTCTGGTAGAGCATCTAGGAATTCTGGGATCTTACTGTATGCCTCATGCAACCTGGCCAAAAGGGGAAACTGAGTCTGCACAACATTTGATGGAAAATAAACTTATCAGCAGATGTACATGTGGAAAGCCACTTCAAGTTTTGAGCAAAAGGTCTCAAAAACTAGATAAGTATCTAAGAGGACAGCCACCAGAAATATTAAAATAAATAAATAAGTAATAATTATAAAGAAGGAAATGAAAGAGCAGCTGGTGGATGAAAATGTAGGAACACCCAAGACCAGGACAGGGTTCAAAATTGCAGAACACAAAGGTCAAAGACTCTTTCAGTTTTTTTTTTCCTTTTCTTTTTTCTTCTTTGGCTGATTGGGAAGGGTGAGAAAAACCCTCCTTTCCTAAACCCAAGACAGATATATAGTCAGAAGCTTACTACACTGAATGAATTGATGAGACTTCAACCTAGGCCTTGAGCTAAACTGAGTTATTCCCACCAACTCACCTGAATTTTATTAGTGAGTGACACAAAGTCCCATAGCAGGGCAAAATATGGTTATTCTAAGTTCATATAGAGATGAAAGAATGAATCATATAAGCTGATTGTAATATTCTTCATAGGGACAGAGGCGTTTGAAGTCTCTGTAAATACCTTTTTTATGGCAAGCCTACCATGATAAATAATAATATATATATATAAATTAAAAAAAAACCCTAATGAATGACCACTATAAACTTCATGTCAATGGGAAAACAATGCAGCTTCCATTCATATAATAACAAAAGATATGCAGGTCAAAGACGAGCTGATACTGTTTCGAATAAAGTACATAAATAAGAGAAAGACAGGTTGCTACTGAAAGTAGACACAGATAGAAACTTGATTTATGACCCCAAAAAAAGAGATGGTAACTTGATTATGTGATGGAAACATCAGAACACCACCAAATTGGATTAGTTTCCATTGTCACACGAAAATGAAAAAAAAAATTAAGGAAATGTCAACCTACAAATCAGATAAATATAAATTTGCACAATCAAGAACGAATGCACATTGCTACAGTGTAACTGGCACAAGAATAGAATGAGCAGTACCATGTCTACATGGAACCTTCCAATGGCTGCATAAAGCTGGGGTGCTAGAAACAAATCTGCCTGCAAATATTTGAGAAAATGTTACATTATTTTGATTTTTTATTTTTTTTATTATTTTTTTATTTTTTTTGTATTCATACATTGAGGAATTTTACACTATCACTTATTATTTGGAAAATTAGGAAGTAAAAGTAGTAATGTTCAACATGCAACTCAAACTGTAGGGTTCATGTAAGGCTTTTATTGAAAAAATTACAAAAGGAAACACCATCTTCTTAGACGGTGGATTGCCCCTTTCATATGAGTGGGGGTAAGGCTGCAAATTAGTGAGTCCTGTCGGTTGGAGGATGAAGCTAAGGAGTTCAAAGTTTGAGAGTTGTAAGAAAAGTAAAGTACATCTGAATTCCTTGAAAATCTCTAGGTTTAGGCTGGAGAAGTGATGGACTTCAGTATATGCACTTCTATTCCAAAGTCCACCTGTTCTTGTTCTTTTTTATATAAATACATCGTTTAATAAAATCCTTATGACTCCAATGAATTTTTGAATATTACAAAACTTTCTAAAAGTCTTATCAATTGAATACCACAACAGTTTTATGGACTCTCTAAAAATCCTAATTCAATACCACAAAACTATTATGGACTGTAAAAGTCTATATTGAATACACCAAAACATTTTTAATGGGTTCTTATAGTACTACTAGGAATCTTTGGGAGTTCTATTAGAAGCCTATATCTCTTGGTGCCTTGATATGTTCTTACTTTCATCTCTCTTCTCCTCCCTACTATTCTTTATTTCTCTAATATCTTTAAGATTAAAGCAACCATATAACTTTCGTTTCCTTTAACCTCTTCTAGTTATCAAAATTTCCATCATCTAAAAACTACATAACCAAAAGAATGAGTATCCTAGTCCTCAAACCTGCCACATTAATGGTTTTTCTGGTTGTTGAAACAATTTTGTTGGTCAAATTATTTTAAAATGTTTTTAAGAGTTTTCTGATTTTCCAAAATAAAATAAGATGGCGAGTCCTTTTTCTTAAAGGGGAGAAGAAAAGAAAAAGGACAACATGAGCAAACAGACCAAGAAAACTTCATCCCCAGTTGCATATCTCCCCGCATAGTTGTTCAGCAGTTCTTCAAGAGCTGAAACACATACAGATAACAGATTATTAAGCCTACAACCATTCATAGAAAAGAAGAACAATACAGCAAGACAGGATTTATATAAGGTACGATCTTCCACAGAAAATAAAAATGTGGTTTGACAAGCCTCACACATTTGGGTGTTTTTGAGGTCTGGAGAAGCAAGATTGTAGTGGAAATATTACAACTTTTTTCTTCTTTCATAGATACAAAAACTTTAAATCCAAGAGGTCTTGTTATTTTGAAAAATGACATCATCTGTGACTAAACCAGTTTTACCCGCATTCCTATTTTCAAATCTCTTTTAAGATTTTCTTACCTGCAAAGCCTTTTCCAATATGAACTTTAGCCCATTCAAGTTTCTCTTCGGGACTAACTTTTTCTTCAATGTACTTCTGTAAATGGAAAAGCAGCAAAACAATATCCATATCAATTTTTTTATATGATAATACCATGAGAAGTAAGCTCAGTTTTTGACAATCAAAGCAATACAAAGTATCCACAAGCAAACACTCGGTCCAGCTAATTACCAGTATAGCCAGATTCTGTAGAGGCTGTATGCTTGAGGAAACGATATTTGCAGCCTACATATCAGGGGCAAGCTAATAGCATTAGAATTTGAAACAAACATTCAAAATCATATAATAATAAATGTTAATGGAGATTAGGTTGCTTTTGGGTGGGAGCGATGTTTGAACAGGTTAGGATTTTAGGGAAATCATAATGAATTGTACAAAGTTACACCAGGAAACTCAAATTACTAAGAGTATATCATACAGGTAGAGCATGATACCATATCCCTTAGCTGAATTACCATCATTCAGCATGTTAAACACAATAACCGGCATGTGTGATGGATACAGATCTAAGCACCAATACACATGAAACTAATTTCCATTCTTAATAATTACAATAGAAACTACCATTGATGTCATCTACATCCTGTTTTGTATAGCATGCGCGTAGGCCATAACATACTCATCCATGCAGTTCTGGGTAAGTTAAGTGCAGATGTTTTGCCAAGTCAAAAGGACAAAATTGGAAACCATATTTCAACTAATGAACTCAGCCAATGGTTGTTCCAGGCACACTCACTTGATCCGTTAAAACATTTGGCGGAGAGTATTTGAAATTGGGTCCTCAACATCAGAAGAGAAGCATGGCTACCAATTGGCTATGCCCTGACCTCAAAGTTTGAGCTTTTATGTGCTCATTGTGACATTAGCAAAATTACTAGTAGTGCCCCAACCCCAAGACATTCAAACACTCTTTAATGGCATCAACACATGCTACACTCATTAGTTCTCAAGTCAAAAACCCAGTGATTATACAGTTGAGTTCATAAAGAGCCCAAACATAGTCTACTAAAACGGAAATTTTCAAAGCCTGTACATCTACATCTTGTGTTTCCAATCTATATTTGAGAACTCAAAGCAGAACTATATGGGACAACTACTCTAGTGGTATTTATTATTTGAAGGTCCAGCTCCAGTGTGAAACTAAAATTGGCAATGCAAAAAGTAGCAAGAGGATAGTTCATAATATTTCACAAGGGGATAATTAAAAAGAAAGAAAGCAGTATGACCTGGTAATTGATGGCCTTTTTCTGAAGATCTTGAGGTAACAATGGATGCTGAGGGTACTTGTCCTCTAAATACTATAGAATACGAAGAAGCATATTTTACAACGATGTAATGCAAATTTAGTGGAGCAGAAGCTGATGAAAAGGAATAACATGGAGACTGACTATTAAGATGGCAAACGAGTCAGCAACAACAATGTCCCCATCCACAAGCACTGGCACATAGCCGATAGGATTGAGCTTTGTAAACTCTGCAAGGCAAGAAAAGCCCCCAAACAATTGACTATTGAGTAGAGCAGCTACTCCTACTACAAGTTAAGTTCACCGGAATATAAAACACGAAAGTGAAAGGGAAGGGACTGACCGGGACTGAATTGCTCTCCCTTCAACAGGTTTACAGCTTTGTACTCGTATTTGAGCCCTATACAGTATATTTATACGCAGTAATTAATTAAAATACAAATACATATATACTTTCTTGAGAGTAAGACTTCAGCCTTCAGCCTTCAGATTTCAGATTTGCAAGGAGTAAATTAAAAAATATTTAAAACAACAACAAAAAGAAATTGAAGGAAAATAAACCTTTTAAGTTGAGAGCAATTCGGACACGGAAGGAGCAAGAGCTCCTCCAGTAGGAATACAGCTTCAGCTGTTGATCATCACCACTTTCACTCGCCTGTGTTCCATCTTATCATTCGTTATTATCAATCAAAATTTCAATTCGTCTATCTCAGAATATCGGGCGTTGACAAGGATAAGAAGCATATATATAGCAATAATTTTCTCTGGAAAAAAATAAATAGCAGACTCTAAAATTCACTCACCATGAGACGCAGCCAAGACCCTAAAGAGATTTTTCGATCACCGGTAGCGCTTCAGTTTTCACACAAACAAACCGATTAAACAAATTCAACTTTTCTGATTATCTTTTCTTGGCGTTGGCGGTGTAGTCCTGCGTATTTTATAGAGCACTTCTGAAATTTTGGACAAGCTCCTAAAATGTTTTCTAGTGTTCAACTTAAAAAATAGAGAGAACGATTGTATTCTTGCATGCCTCCTTCCAAAAAGAATACACAAAACAGAAGGGTTTATTTCACTACCTTTTCTCACTCTCTTTCCTATGACTTCTGTGAAGCGCTGACATGACAATTTAGTCCACATGATGATGAGCTCCACTCAAATTTTGTCACGCGGACTAAAATAATAAATAATAAGTAAATAATTAAATATTAAAATTAAAAACAAAAGTCTCACTCACTCTTCCTCCCCACTCCTTTTTTCCCTCAAAATTGTTTCTTCTCTTTGTTGTAAAGAAAATAGTGGGTCCACATAAAGAAAAGAAGGAAATAATATTCAAAAAGCTTAATAATAATATTAGAGTTTAATGATAATGTTGGAAGCCATCCAATTTGCCTATAAATAGGCTTCCCATTACTTAGCAAATCACACCAAAGGAGAAGAAATGAAAGAAAGGAAGAGTGAGAGGAAACAACAGAGAGTGAGTTCTATCTGAGAGGAACTTCTGTCAGTGTAAACATCACAAGAGCAAATACAATTCTACTCCTAATATTCAGTGGTACTTTTCATACTCTGTTATTTTATTTTTATAATACGTTATTAGCACGATAATCTCTCCTCTTTACTTATAAATTTTCCCAGCTCAACACTATGTGGTTATTTCTCTGTCTCCTCTCTATCATATGTCTTCTCTCACTTTACTACTACGATGACATGCAAACTTTCTTTTTTGTATTCTCACAATTGTCTTCTCTCACTTTACTACTACGACGACATGCAAACTTTCTTTTTTGTATTCTCACAAATTTTTTATGCTGCTTCATCCATGTTTATTTAATTATTTTTCGTACAGTAATTTGGAATGGTGTGGTTTTATACCCATCTTGTTATTTTATGGTGGTGTAATTTTCATTGCCCATCACGTTGTAACACATATTATCGTAATAAAAATGATGGTGTGATCTTAAAACCCATCTTATTATATCTTGAATAGTGGCGCAATTATATTGTCCACAATATATAATATGTTATATACTTCATATATATTATGTGATGGTTTTATCCCGGCATTTACTTTATTTACTGTATGGTGTAGGTTTATTACCCATAGGGTAGTATTTATTTAAAAGTGTGGTGCGGGTTCATCGTCCACACAACTGCCTTTAGCATTTATTTTATTTACTGTATGGTGTAGGTATGTTACCCATACGGCATTATTTATTTAAAAGTGTGGCACAGGTTTATCGTCAACACAATTGTCTTTACTTTTTATTTAAAAGTATGGAGTAGAATTAGTGCCCATACCAGCATGTTTACTTTATCGCACATTTACTTTATTATTTAAAGTATGGCGCTGGATTAACGTCCATACATGAAGCAATTTAATTTATGAATTTATTTTACAGCACATTTACATTTATTTAAAATATGGTGCGGGATTATCGTCCATACCAACAATTTATTTACAAGCAATTTATAACAATTTATTTTATGAATTTATTTTACCGCACATTTACATTTATTTAAAGTATGGTGCGGAATTATCATCCATACCAGCAATTTATTTTATGAATTAATTGTGTGATATGATGAGTTTTATAGCATACAGAAATCAGGACCAGAAGTTCCTTGATCCTCATCATACAACTACATCAGGACCTGAAGATCCTTGATGATGATAATGATATGAGAGCTGGCAGTCTCTCCGGTACTATATTTGTAAACAAGAGATCGGACCTGAAGATCCTTGATCCTTAACATGTAAATAAGGACTTGGAGTTCCTTGATAATGTAACAGTACCGTATTGGTTAATAATGCCATACAAATGAATAGTAATTGTACCGGAAAATGTACTGTATGCATGAATAGACACGTATTCATGACTTGATAAATATTATTGTATAAATGAATAGTAACATATACATAAATATTAACCATTTTGGGTAAACCATCACTATATACAAAAGGGAACTTGTAGTTCCTTAAACACATGGATGAGCAATTAAATGAGAAGATAGAAGCTCCTCAAAACTTGAACAATTATGTAAGGGCCTGAAGTCCTGAAATATGTATAGGAAATTATAAAAATGTCTATACCATGAAAATATGTGATTTTGGCCTGAAGTTCAAAATCTGACAATATTGAGAACTTGAAGTTCCAATAGTTAAATGGACAACCCTTGAGGTATTATTGCAAATTGTGGTACACCACATATTTCTTTGGCATAAGAAAATGATGAATTTAATAAAGTTCGATTCTATTATAATCGACACCTCAAGGAAGCAATAATTTTGTGAATTCCGGTTGTTAAGAATACACCGAGAAATAGATAATATCAGGATAAACCTCAAAAGATGAATTGAGGCTCTTCACATATTTTGTTATATTATATGATATGGGCTGGAAGTCCATGGATCCAAATATATGAGGGATCCCGAACTTGAAGTTTTGGGTATATAGTAGTTAATGTTTTTCACTAATATATTGCAATATTATCATGGCTTTTACTTAATTTATATTTCATGTCCATTTGAAAAGGGCAAATAAATTCTGAAGTCGTGTTTAGCCCGGGCAAGAAGTTTCGGACTCATATGCATTGAAATATGTAATTTGAGATATTTAATGTGGTTATTTGAACCTGTAAGGCACAAGGTTCCAAACTTTCATTTTGAAAAGACATAAAAACCACAGGTGCAAGTTTAAGAATTTACTCAATTATTATAACAGAAAATGAGCATACAACAGATAGATTCTTTTCACCTTCAAGGAAGAAGCATACTCTGTAAAATCTATAAAATTCCATTATGTTCTGGAAGCCTTTGAAGGAAGAGGGCAGTACCTCTTAAGCTTAGTCATGAGCCTCTTGTGGTCTCCCAAAATCTTTTCATTGGAAATTTGCAGCATGTCAAGCCTTATCCGCATATCAATGGAGTATGAACTCACTAGTTTCAAAAAGGCCTTATTTTACTCTTTAAGTTTCTCAACCTCTTGTTGAGACTCATGAAGCATTCTTTGAATAGACGAATTTTCAATGTTCAGCTCCTGAATCTCGTTTGCTCTGGCACGCAAACGATCAGCCATGTTAGAAACAAAAGCAGCACTCTGAATGCTAAAAGTCATTGAGTCATCAATAGCCTCTTTGTCAGACCTTCATGTTAACAGTATTTCATCCATAGAAGTAAGGAAATTCCTAGCTACTATGACAATAGTTGTATCATTCATCATCATAGAATCATTAACCACTAGATGAAGATTTTGGGATACAAAGGATGGACGCCAGACTTTGGCATCAGGGTTTGTTATGGGAGCAACATTTAAATCAAAATGATTTTAGGCGAGAAGAAGAGGAAGCCATTTTAAGAGGGTTTCGAGGAAATTCTTATAAAAGCTGAATTTTCAAAAAATGGAAGGAAGTTGAATTGAAATGCAGATTAGGCCTTGCAGAGGCAATATCTATAGACGAAAATGTGGCACCATTTCTAGGATCCCAATATTTTCTCGGATCCTCATATTCTCTTTTTCTTTTTCATATTCCAAAACTTCACGCAACCTCCAATAATGTCTATCGGCACTTTAAAGGTTCACGAAGTTACTTTTTCAAAAGCATCTCGAGAACCACACAAAGTTCTGTGGTTAATTTGAAATTCACTGGATCTACCTATTCCTCTAATTTGTGTCTAAATATGTTACTAACGAAATCTTTTTTGCAGAATACATCCAATTTTCTCCATATCTAGTAATGTAATATCCACTTGTTTTTCTTTTTCATATTCCAAAACTTCACGCAGCCTCCATAATGTCTATCGACACTTTAAAGGTTTCAAGGACTATTTTGGTCAAAGCTAATCTTGCTTTACGGATTTCACGAAGTTACTTTTTCAAAAGCATCTCTAGAACCTCACAAATTTCTGTGGTTAATTTGAAATTCATTGGATCTACCTATTCCTCTAATTTGTGTATAAATATGTTACTAACAAAATCTTTTTTGCAGAATACATCTAGTTTTCTCCATATCTAGTAATGTAATATCCACTTGTTTTTCCTATCAGTGAGCACACGATGTGCTTGAGAAGTGAGACTATCTTCGATCATCCATTTAGGAAGCAAGACTATCCTTGATCATGTTTCAGTTAGATCAAGGAACTATAAGGACGACCACATGCTCTAATCTCCTGAAGTTCTTCTAGGCTAGGAGAAATGAGAGTTTGTTGTCTATTACCTCACTAGTTTCCTTCCTTGATTTCTTGCATACCTTGCAATTAATATCACAATTCTTTGTATCTTTTCTTTCTTTTTACAACGCTCTATCATAAAGGGATTTTGTTTCTTTAGAACGAACATTTGAAGAACAAATCCATGTAGTGAACCTAACACTTTTGTGTTTGTTTTTTTTTTTTTTTTTTAGAGACAGAAGAATTGTGATTTTTTGCTATTGCAGGATATAACTAGATCATCAAGCATTACATTGTATTTGCTGAGTTGAAACGAGCTTGAATGACATTTGAGCAAAGTTTCTCCCACCTAAGGATGTAAGCAATACTTGTGTTATTTCATGCTTGTACTCTTATTTTTTTTACGACATCCTTAAAGATAACTAAATGGGGAGATAAAGCCATTCCAGAAGAATAACTTGCATTATAGATCGTTCCAGAAGAACGACTTGCATTATGACCATTCCACAAGAATGGCTTGTATAAGTTTGATATGTATTTATGAATTATTAATGCAAAATTCACAGATTTCAAGTTGAATACATTGATAATACACTGCATAGATTAAAGTCCCATAAGAACAGAACATGGGTATAT